CTGAATGTCAACATGGCATGTAAATTTGAAACAACTAAAAATGTTAAGAAAAAGTGTTGAATTCCTCCAATATATGCATTACTTTTTTGGGTAAAAGGTATCCACAATCTCGTTAATATGATTAATTTGATGGTTATTTTCAATGCAACCTCATTTATTTTCTCCAAAATTGTTTCGGAGTGAATCTGCAATTTTCTGCTACATTGCGGGTATATGGGAGGCATTCTTAACGTGGTGAGGGCCGATACCAAGACACAGTTAGATTATTCTAATTTTAAGCTGTAGAAGAATCATTCCTTTACTGAGTTCTTGCATCTCAGAAGTTAGATCCATGAAATAGAGTTGTAAAAGGTAGGCAGCACAGCTAGTGTCGCTGAATTCCAACTTTTCAACATGGCCTCCACTCTGACTCTCCCCCACGCATGTCACAATATAAAAGTAGGGGTTAGAGTCTGAGGAATTTCCCCAGCACATATCACAGTACTAAATCGGGTGTAAGAGAAAATCTCGGATTAGTGTGAACAGAGGAACCCCCTTGAATCACAGGTACTTGGGTCTTGGTTTATAAATATGTATGTACCTTATTGATATGTAATAAAGTACTTTTTTTTTACATATCAATAAGGTACATACATATTTATAAACCAAGACCCAAGTACCTGTGCCTTAAATCCAAGATTGCGAATGTCAACCCTTGTAATTTTTTATGTACATTGAAAATATGATTCTTTTTTTTTAATGCGAATTTCAGAGATTTTCAATTTTTATCGTAATTAGTGAATTTAAACACACAAAATACACTATCCTGAAACGAACCCCTTAATATGATATAAATTGCATTTGATTAATGATACAATAAGCACTTACAAGATCGAATAACGGCACATGTTACAGCAAATATGCAAAAACTCTGTATACATCCCGTTCTAGCTATTTTCTTTTGTTCTTCTGGATCAACTTTTGAAGGTAATCGCAACATTTTGTGAATTTGACCTGTAAGGAGGTATAATATGTATGCTGTAAGCGTGCAAACTCTGCAGTGTTAAACTAAAGCATTACTGTTGAAGCAAAAACTCCCTTCATGTAAAACGCTTTACTGATCAAGAGGAGTGACGACTAATTACAGGATAGAACTCTTAAACTTCCTAAACATCATTCATCCCTTTATCATGAAAACTCTTTAATTGAATGTATCAACTAAAGCAGATTAATAATCATCTACTTAATTTTTCTATGATAAAAATATGATTGGCAAAATGCATCAAATTAGGTGATATAAGTGAGGGGTGGAATGGCTATTTGTTGCAGTATCGTTTCAGACCAGGTCCTTTGGGCTCACTTCATCACATTCACAAAATACATCCCAGAATAACTTATTTTCTTCATAGCTATGTACAATATAATGATAATACTTATAATCAATTCTTTTATACAGTACATATAGTACATATATACAAGAAACAGCTGAAAGCTGTAGAGTGAACCCATGCTGGGATTCAGGATTTTGCGACAGATGATGGAAAGGGGTTTCTAGATATTCTGTGGTTATCAACAGGTGAAAGACAGTGTCCAGTTGGGAGCCTGGGGCTAAACTCCCTTAAAACCAACCAAGAAAGTTGCTGACAAGCAAAAATAGTAAACTCCTATACCAGACGTGAAAAACCTATTTCAGAAGTGGGGGGGGGGGGGGGGGAGCCACTTGTACTTTCTTTGAAATACTTGGATAGTTTCTCCTAGCTACCAACTTAACAGGGGTCCACGTTTTCTAGGGGGGTGGGGGCTGTTCAGAGGTCATTTTTTAGCTACTTAATATTTACATTTAATAACTCCACATATTTCAAAAGGGGAGGTTCAGAAATTTTCAATATATGAATTTTAATATGAATATGGTGAAAAAAAACCACAAATTTTTTACTCAACCTTTTTTGTTGGGGGGGTGGGGGGGGGTGGGGGGGGGGGTTGGACTTAAATTAGATCTTTAGTTCCAAAAGGTTATAAACATACTGCATTCTCATAAAACATTCATATAACCATTGAGTTTTCTACCCCCCAAAATAAAAACAAGACAAAGAAACCAACAAGTTTCTGATAAAATTTTAGCTAGCTGTACTGGTTTTGTACTTACAATAAAATCAAAATCTGATACTGGAATCATGTATCGTGGTATATATATAAGTCCGTCAATTTTTATTGACTGTACGCGGAAAAAAAAGGCAATAACTATAATTAAGTATCTTGACATAATCAACTTGTGTACATGTACTAAGTTTCAATGAAATCACACCAAACACACAGGAGGAGTAACATTTTTCAAAATTTTTTACAAACAACAGATCCTTTTAAAATTAACTACTGCATAAGTTTGAACAGTAGACCTAATCATAGGTAATTGAAGATTATGAAGCTCATATTAACAATTGTTATCCAGTCAGGTTAAAATTTCACACCAGTGACCACATGAATGTTTTAGAAGTATGCAACGTACATTCAAGTTTGGTCCAAGTAGGATTTATAGTATCTTGAGAATGGATCCCAAACTTAAATCACCTGCAATATGTAGGTCAGATGCAGCATCCCAAGAATGTCTGATAGTGTCCATCCCTTGATACATCCAAGCCCGTTAGAATGAGTGTGCATTGGTCGCAACCCCCCCCCCCCCAAAAAAAAAATTGAATATTGGAACAAAATTAATTCATTATTCATCTATTAAAGTAATGCTGCTAGATTTTGTTTATTTCATTTATGAAAAAAAAGAATTACTTCAATCCCTTGCAACTTTTCTCAAGATGGGTTTATTATGTAGTTACTTGAAAATGGACCTCCTATTTAAACAAACTTCAACTTGTTCAATCATCCAAAATAAATGAAAGTCAGATATTTGTATATACAAAGCATGTCTGGTAATCTGCATCCCTTGATGTACCATCCATGCAAGTTTAGTCACAATAGGATTTGTAGTTACTTGGTAATGTACCTGCTCCAAAAACTCTGACCTGGCCACTCAGGCAGAAAATAAAGGTTAGATCAAGTGTCTGAAGAAATTGTAAAGTACATCTCTAGATGCATCATCCTTGCTAGTTTTGTCCAGATAAAGCATACAGTTACTTGGGAATGGACCTGCTCCTAAAAATTTAACCTGGATGCCAAGTCAGTGGAAAAACAGTATTTCATTTCAACTTTGCTAAGCTAAAAATACCGGTAATGCACCTATACAACAGAATATAATTGGCAGCCTTTGACTCCAGTGGCTTAAAAATACAATGCAAAGAGTCTCTCAAATGGAAGAAACATTTATTAACATTCTCATCCATATTAATACTAAATTCAAAGTAAATGAGATCAAAATATGTGTACCCACAAAAATATCATGATGGTTCAGTTTGAAAGCTGCTGGTATGTACTCGAGCAATTTCTGTTTTTTCTCTTTGTCTTGTGAATCAGAAATATGAGATTCTCAACATCCAAATAATGTATTATATACATTTTATCTTTACCTTATTACATTACAATGGCAGATTGGAGGATATGTTACATTTGTATGAAAATAACGAAAAAAAATAATTCTTCATTCACAAACCTTGTAAAAATACGAACAGATGAAAAACTATTCCTGCATGAACTAGAACTGTCCAAAAGGGACAAATACCCCCCGCTGGGTTTTTCAGAGAAGGTACCAAACCACTAATGTTTTCTAGATGTGAGAGGTGTTCACAATTTGCTTAAACATTTAGAGTGAAAATTTAATTACTCATTATATTTTTTTTAATGAATGAAACAAGGTGCAGCCTAATAAAACATCAATACTTAAATAATTACAGTGTTTTTTATGACATTGAAAAAATAGTTTGCAATTATCTGTCATCTTTGTGAGACATGACACTCTGCAAATTGGTTGTTGAAAAAAAAATATCATAATTAATTATACAAAATCAAATTGATCTTAATACCTTTATATCAAACTCATTTTAAAAATAAAAGGTTGGTTCCAGTAATATGTATTTTGACAGACATAAATTACAATTAAGAGACTTAGACAACAGAGATCTTTATTTCTTTCTGCCCAATTCCCAGGAGATATAGATAAGACCTGCTTGATCAGAGATGCCCTAACAGCTTCCCACACTGAACTCATTAATTAATCTTTAACTGGATGCATGTCCACTCATTACTCCCAAGGGACAAATGGATTTACACTATCTGCTGTGTAATGTAAAAACTGTTTTTAATACTTTATAAAATTTTAATGAGTAGTTTTAAGCTGTAGTCCACATTTTTGTACAGATGTTCTAGATTCTATGTCTCAAACCTTAGACATGAACCCGAAATGACTAAGTCAATAAAAATGGAGAAAAAAAAACACCTGTAAAATGCAGAAAAATTATCAAATAATGTTGAAAATACCAGGTGCACATCTTCATATGGTAAATAATAAGTGTACAAATTTTCATACAAATCTATGCAATAGTCTCTGGGAACAGATCCGGACAAAACCACATAATAAAAATGAAAAAAACACCTGTAAAATGCAAAAAAATTATCCAATCATGATGAAAATACCAGGTGCACACCTTCAAATGGCAAAGAATAAGTGTACAAATTTTCAGACAAATCCTTGCAACAGTTTCCAAGAAATGGTCCGGACAAAATCTCGTCTACAGACAGACGGACAGACAGACAGACGGACAAGCTGATTCCAATATACCCCCCCTAAACTTCGTTTGCGGGGGGTATAAAAATAAAATGTATTAACAACAAATACTACATGTATACAAGTAAACATGTAAATCAGGGATGGGGTAATTGGAATAAGAAATCTTAATTAACTGTAATCATTTACAATTTGCTGTGAAATCAATGAGCAATGGACAGACTTCTTGACTTGTCTTTGAAAAACACATTTAGGCCTTAGGAGTTAAATTATATAGTTTATATGTAATTCCTGTTTCTTTTTTTTTTTTTTAACATTTCTATCAGAACCAAAACTTATTCATATTTTGTATTAAAAAATGCAAAAATAAACAGTAGATTAATATTCATGTATATCACCTTTGTCCTTTAAATTCAACCCAATGTTCTCAATTAGTACATGATGAGGCGGTGCTAATAATCATGTACAATGTAGAATGAAGCTAATGAGCACTGAACATCAGAAGCATAATTAATATTGCAGCACTCATTTAATTTCTGATTTTAGCACTTACTTTTTCACATTATTTCCACAAGTAACGAAACGAAAAACCATTACAAATACGTGTATGCATCTATATACATGTATAAGAAGATACATCTTTACTTGGAAGAAAAACGGGGCATAAAAAATATTAACATCTTAAAGAGTCGGGGGAAGAAGGGAGATCTGGCCAAATCCATGAAGATTGTTGACATCACATTGGCACATGAGTGAACAAATATGAGACAGATTCACCATTGTGAGTTCGTCGAATGGATTCTGCCAGCATGGTAGATATATCAATGCACTGAAAAACAGAAAATACAATTAAGCCAGTAGAATTAATCTAAATGCAGAGAAAATACAATTAAAACCTAGTAAAATTAATCTAAATCATAAAGTGAATTCCTTAAATTCAGCATTTTTTAAATTCTTTTGTATCTTACAAATTTTATGAGGTACCTAAATGTCTGAGAACCGGTACAAAATGAAGTAAAGTTAAGTATTTCTCATTGTTGTATATAAAATAACCAAAATGTATACAGTAGTATGTGTTAATATTTCTGTATAAAAAAAAAAAGATTGATAGATTTGAATAATGTCATGGTAAAACCTTCACATCTTTTTATTCTAAAGACTAATAAGGTGACCTTATCTATCCTGCAATATGTATCAAAGTATCAATTAAAAACATCCATAAAATAACACAAAAACAGCATCTGAAATGAAAACCAAGATCTTTAACACATCAACACATATATATATTACACATTTTATATTCAACACTTTAATATTTAAAGCTTTTGAGTTGCATTAGGTTAACTTTTTACAACTTAGAGTCCCATGGGCCAAATCACTCACCTTGCTACAGAAAAGCAGAAATTAGTTCAGTATTAAAAAATTAAAACAATACAAGTAGTCCTAACCTACCCCCAGGGTGCTTGATTTTAACAAACTTGAATCTACACTAACTGAGGATGCTTCCATATTTCTTCTGACTAATCATTGCTTTAGAAGATTTTTTAAAAGATTTTTTCCCATATATTTCCATGTAAAAGTTTGATTTTTGAGCCACGCCCTACCCCAAAGGAACTTTATTTGAACAAACTTGAATCTAATTGAATGACTAATTATGGCTTTTGCAGTTCTTGAAAAGAAGGTTTTAAAAGATATTTCCTATACAGTATATTCCTATGTAAAGATATTTCCTATATATTCCTATGTAAAACTTGGATCCCCAGTTGTGGCCCCACCCAACCCCCTGGGTTCATGATTTGAACAATCTTGAATCTACACACCTGAGGATGCTTTTGTATTAATATGACTAATCATGGCTTTGCTGTGCTTGAGAAAAAGATTTTAAATATTTTCCTATACAGTATATTCCTACTAAGTATGTATAGCTTTGATCCCCTGTTGTGGCCTCACACTACCCTTGGGGGTCATGATTTGAATAAATTTGAATCTACAAATCAAGCTTTCACATGTTTCATCTTTTCTGGCCCACTGGTTTTTGAGAACAAGAGTTTTAAGATGCTACCAAATTTTCATGAATTCTTAATTATCTCCCTTGAAGGGGGGCATGACCCTTCATGTGAACAAACTTAAAAATCTCCTTCACCCAAGGATGCTTTGTGGATAGTTTGCTTGAAATTGGCCTAGTGGTTCTGGAGAAGAAGTCAAAAATGTCAAAAGTTTACAAACACTAAACACACAATAGACAGACAGACGGATGCTGGACACTTCCATCAGAAAAGTCATCCTCGCAAGCCAGGGGTCCTGAGTCAACACGTTGCCATTGGACCCCTGGCATATTTCATTCAATAATCGTGGGCTTGCTTCTCCCATTGAGAAGCACCAATCAAATTAAAGCTTTCATAAATAGTTAGATAAGGATTCAGTTGACACCTCAATGCACGTGTTACAAGTTGTTTATGCTTAATGTGTTTGGTTGAGAGATAAGAAAAACAATCAAGATTTGTAATTTTTCCAAAAGACATCACTACAGTCATCCCACAAATATTAAATGAAATATGTCAGGGGTCCAACGGCAACGTTTTGACTCAGGACCCCTGGCTTGCAGGATGCAGAAAAGTGGGCTAAATAAATTGTTTTAAATGTTCTTGCTGTCTGTGAAAAAAATAATAAATTCACATTCTGTTAAATAAGTTTGAAATTGAATAACATCAGATGCTAAACTTTCATATATTTTTCAAAATTTTGGGTACTTCTATGAATTAAATTTCCTGAAATATCAAAAGATTCTGTGTAATACCGAATATGCACAGGCATGATAAGGTTTCCCATAGAACAACACTGCATTCTGTCTGTGAAGTACCAACATATGTCATCGTAATGGAAAATGACAGCACTGCAAGTTTGAGATGTCATGACGAGGAGTGTCGTAAACTTTACATCTTATTTCAAACTGCATGTAAAATGTAAGAAAGTTACAAAATTCATGCATCTTCATTGTAGTCTTAAATGTGAGGGTGCTGTTATATAATCAAATAATTTAAAAATACTTTGTTTCATTGCTCTTGATTGAAATTTGGCTGTTCAATATATGAATAATAAATTTTAAAATATCCTTTTGAAATGTAAGCCATAACATGTCTGTGGATAGAGGGAGAGAGTCTGGTGCAAGTGATTTTAAAGTAAGAATTAAAATTTTTTTGTGGAAATCCATAAGAGGAGTTTTTCTCTAACTGAATTTTGCTTGTGAAAAGGTGTAATGGCTTCGTTTTACTACATACATGTACTATACAGCGTGGAAAATACCCTCAAATGTGGCGGTAAATTGAAATCATGATGAAATATTTCATGAATACAAGTGCAATGCTATGATTTTCCCAAGCATATTTCAGGTACAGTAGGATACATTGAGTTCAAAAAGTCACTAATAAATGTTTTAATCACCTCGACTGAAGCCATTTTTGTGCAATACTTAAAAAAAATCAGTTGACCACCACATTATCAACAGTAATGTGATTTAAAAAAAAAAAAGTTTATATATAGCCGAGAGAACACTCTATATAACTTGGCTGTACTTAAGTACATACCTTACTATTAAAAATCAGAACCGAACCTCACAATTCAATACAATTATTATGTTTTGAAAGCATTTTAAAGCTTCAAGGCTTAAAATAGCTGCAGGAGCATTATGAAATTAAACACCTTCCACAGCTGAACATTCTTATGGGTTGAGCATCCCCCATCCATCCCCCATAAAGCCCTGAATTAATGAACGAGTAAAAAAAATGAGCCAAGACCCTGGAGGTCGCTAAATAATTCATACTAATAGAAGTAGGCCTTAAGTAATTTACAAAATTTAAATAAGAAAATTTCAATGGACATTAATATTGTACATTTTGCAAAATTCCACCAAGCACATGTATATCTCATTCATCCATGCAATTTTCTAATAAATACTTATAAAACAATTAAAAAAAAAAAACATGCTTGCTACTTGATGCATCTAAAGCAAGATTTCCATTTGCCATGAGTCACCTGAGTTGTAATTCCTTTTCTGACAATGAGTATGTTAATGAATCATATAGCTGTAGCCTGTACTAAACTTTATGCATGTTCTCAACATTCTTATCTTCCCTGTACTGATTGACTCTAAGTTTATAAACTGAAATTGTGTTGTTATTAAGAAGTCTATATATTCTTATAAAACCTGTGCCACCAAGCCCCCCACCACCATCTCATCCTCACAATATTTGAACATTTTCCACTCTACAAATTTATGTAAATAACTACGGCCATCTACTTTTGAGAAGAGAATCTTCAAGACCGTTTCCATATACAGTCAAACCTTGTTATCTTTAATTCAATGGGACTGAGAAAAAACTTCCAAGGATATGAGATATCAAGGGTAAAGTTCTTAAAGATTATGTGGTTGAAACTTTGAAATCACTTCGTCATATCCATGGTATTTAAGATATCGGTGTTTGAGACACCGAATTTCAACTGTATTTCTATACATATTTTTCTGCCTTTTGTGGCCCTACCCTAGCACCAAAGGCCAAGGACAGAAAAACTTCAGTCCACACTGCATGGGTTTGCTTGTATATTCATACAACTATGCTTCAGATATGCTTCTTCTGTTCTTGACAAGATGGCTATTGAAGAGTTTTTTCCTTTATAATTCCCATGTAAAACTCTAACCCCCTATGTGACCTCATCCTAACCCTAAGTGCTATGATATTCTATACTACATGGATATTCTGGACTAAAATACAGATTTTCCTGTATACAACCTATCAAATAATTTTACCCCCTACTGTGGTCAAATTCCTGCCCCCCCCCTTTTTTTTTTAAATGACGCCATCCTGCTTATTTATTTCTTAATTATCTTCCCCTGGAAAGGGTATTAACCCTTCATTTTTGTAATGTTGGAGTTCAATTTATCTTTAAATTGCAAGTCCTTATTAGAAAATGGCATCATCATTCTGGGAAAGATGACAAGAATGTGAAAAGCATTATATTACAAATTATTTCATTTAGTAGTTTAGGCTAAATGGACTGTGGTTATCGGCCTGGTAGCTCAGTGGTTAGAGCACCTGACTAATTATAATGCAAGGGTCCCAGATTTGATTCCCTGCCAATTTCATGTATTTTCTTTATTCATTCCTCCTTTCCTACTACATGTCCACATTATAGACTTAAACAAGTACAACAAACTTTGATCAGGAAAACGCCTCTAAACCTATGGCTCATGTGAGCTATATCCAGACTTAAGCTTGACACATTTCAATAAACAAAGCTCAGGTGAGCTTAAAACTATGGAATTCTTTCGAACAAACCAAGACCCATTGATAGAAAGTCTGGATTTAAAAGAAAACAGTGTCTGAAACAAGAATAAAGAACTGTAGCATTATCAAATGCTGGAAAGTAGCTCACCTTGACAAATGTAGGACAGTCTCACAGAAAAGGAAAGCTTAGATGCAACATTTATGTAAACATTTAATACAGCATGAAAGGACTTAAAATGAACCTGTTTTAAAATCCTGCTCATTAAAAAAAATGTCAGTCTCATATATAATCTGCAGCTTGCTATTGAATATGCATCAATAATTAGAGCATCCATGCATCTACTTTCTATACAAGGATTATAATTTACTTGGGGATGAACCACTCCAAATAAGCTTATTAACCTGTGTAACAAAGAAATAGTGTAAGCTCTTCCTGACATTGTCAATGTGAGCTAAAAGGCTGCATGCAGAAATTCTTCAATGACAACAGCAAATGCTCATGAACATAAACCTACAATGAGGAACAAGAGATGATTTACAACGGCACATGGCTGAACAGATAGGAAACAGATTCTCCATTGTGTGTTCTTCTGACAGCCTCTGCCAAGATGATGGAGATGTCTATACACTGAAATAATCCATGTCATCAGTATATAACATTCATACGACTTCATACTCAAATTAGGATAAATTGTGGAAACATTGATATGATCTGTATCAGGTATTGGGCATTGACATATTCAGTGAACACATAAACAAATGTAGGGGGTGTTAAACAAAATATTCAAGAATAATAGTGGTAGATAGAAAACTGACTCAAAAAGTAGTGCTGCAAAATGTGGTGGTTTTTTCATGTACCAGTACAGTGTAAGGCTGTTATTGCCTGGCATCAAGAAAGTAACAAACTGGGAGTATCCAGCAATTTGGTAAAAATTCTGTATGTGTACATAGATTAACAAATTCAAATTTTAGAGCAATCACCAGGTACATAGTGGTTGGTGCAGTCATGAAACTGCACTCCACATGTAGTGCTTAAAAGAACGAGAAAATAAGCGTAAATGAAAGTCTTATAGCTGGAATACCATTCATAGCTTGTGTTAAATATAGAGTACTGTAGATTCCTTATTTTTTGTGAGTACTTATTGTGAAATGGCTCTTTAACGTCAAATCGCGATAACAATAATTTTTCACATTGATTTCAGCACCATAAAAATAAAAGCGAGTAATTTTATTTCGCAAGTGATGCTTCACGCGTAATTACCTGATAATTAATTCCTCACATATATTTAGGAATCTACAGTATCAACTGTTATTGACATCAAGTAAAGAGAATGACTTCACCAAAATACTTTTAACAACCTCTTAATAATTAAGGATTAATTAACTTAGCCACCTGACCGAACACTGTTGTTGGATGTAAGTGTGAAAGCCCTGAAGTGTGGATGTGAATTAACTGTAGTAACAGACATAATTAAACTTGTTGACCTAGTGATTATATGAATAAATCTGCATGCTTGATGTTTTATCATGATTTTATAATTCAGGGCTCAACATTAACTAACATATCCACTTGCCAACAAATTGTATGTTACTTATCCGTATTCATTGCTAATTTGTCAGGCTCTGAATGTCCTCCATGCAAAAGCTGCTAAAATATGAAACCGTCTTTTTGAAGTACACATACAGTAAAATACAATAAAATTCTATCCATATATGGCATTACAGAGAGAATATTTATAGGCTTTGCTTGTTGCCAATCCTATTCATTTCTAGGAATAAACAAATTCTTTAATTCGTTATTTACCATTCCAACTTCAAACTGTCTCCCAGTTTGCTTTAGATTGCTAGATATACCTTCAGATATAAAATAGTGCATAAATTACAAAATCTTGAGTGCGTCAAACTTACTTTTATTTTTGGAGCTGACTTCATTCTTTCTTCCTGAGGAATGGTGTTTGTCACAACAACAGCTTCAAACACAGAGTTGTTAATGCGGGATATGGCAGGTCCTGAAAATATTCCATGAGTGCAGATGGCATAGACTTTGGCTGCTCCTGCTTCTACCAGTCTGAAAAATGACAGATTCAAAGACAATAAGACGTGGAATCTCTTTGCATGAATTTACTTTATGAATGCTTTCCTTGTCTTTAACTTTTTTCTCTATCATCTTCACTTTATATCCAACTCTCATTCACTTTTGAAGTATTCAAAATTTTTATCAAAAAAGAAAAAAAAAAGGAAACTGAAATAAGCAGGATGACTGATTTTTTCTCTTCAGAAACCAAAACAATCCATTACTATCATGTCTATAAACATAAAAACATGCTATACCAGAGAGTCAGCTTTTTCTTACTAACGTTCAGAAGTTATGAGCAAGTTTATTAGTCGGCCTACTTTTCTGCTGCATGACAGAAAGTTCCACAGGTGTCTGCCATGTCGTCCACTAGTATAGCGATTCGGTCCTTGACGTCCCCAACAAGTACCATTGTCGCCACCTCATTGGCTTTCTTCCTCTCCTTGTGGATCAGCGCAAAGTCAACATTCAGTCTGTCTGCAATCGAAGTCACTCTGTGGAAAAAAATTTTAAATTAAATTAAACATGCTTTTAATTAAGGAATGAATTTAATAGCTACCCAATTCATATGGTATAACGTGGGATGGGGCAGTTTACGCTTTATAAACCGCGAATCCTTGTAATTTAATTTTCATTCATTTAGTGTAAGAAAAAAGATGATTGCCCTTCAAAAAATGACTTCAAATTGTACAAAATTTAAATGTAATATCAGGCAGATCAATACGTTTCTGACGCAAGTCATTGTGACGTAGGCAACCCAATTTATACGATATAAAGTAATTTTTTTTATCCAATCAAATGGCGCGTTACAATCAGAATCTAATTATTTATACATTAGCTACAAAACGGACAGAAAGATGCCAGACAAAATGTGATCTGAAAAGCTCACTTAAGGTTTCAGCTCAGATTCATCCAGAAAACAATACTACAGTCTTCTTCCATTTTCTGGTTTCTTAAAGAATTAAGTTGTAAACAGATTTTCTGAGGAGTAAAACACATGGAAGGAATATGTCTCACAGATTAGAAATTTGTACAAATGGATAAAATTTACAATCATTATGATAAAGTTCAAAGCTAATGGTACAACTGTTTGCATTCATTTGGCATCTTACTGTTTTGTAACACTACCTCTTGGCACCTCCAGCATCAGGGGAGACAATGCAGCTGTTTCTCCAATCAGGAATGGTGTCCTTAATCCATTTCAGGACTGCTGGCTCAGCATATAGATTGTCTACGGGAATGTCGAAGAAACCCTGTCAAAATATAATAAACTTTCCTTCTAATAAAGCAAACACTCAAGATTAACAACTACCAGTAATTAAACAAACTGAATATTACTCAAATAAATGGAATAATATTCTAGGTTATTGTTTTCTCTCCACAAATTTCACAAGGTTTTCACCTGAATCTGAGAGGCATGGAGGTCCATAGTTATAATGTGATCAGCCCCAGCAACAGATAACATGTTGGCCACTAACTTTGCTGATATAGGGGCTCTGCTCTGAAAGCAACAATTACAAATTTCATACAAAAAATATTTCACATGCTTGAGCCTAGTAAAGCAAGTAAGAATAAAACAAAGTTTTAAAAATTGAAACTTCATCACTTTTTACAAGAAATGTATTAATCAGCTTTGGCAAACCTCAACATCACATTATTTATTTTCATGTCAAAATTATAATATGCTTGGAGGGAGGTTAAAACCTACCTGAGGAGGGGGACTCTAACCTACCTGAGGACAGGGGCTCTAACCTACCTAAGGGAGGGGGGGGGGGGGGAGGAAGAGGCTCAAATATACTGTACAATTATATTATGTTGGTCCCGGTTTCATATATTCCCACTTTTTAAAAATGTTTGACAATGTTCAATACATGCAAGTTTCATTTAAAGGTGAAAGTGAATGGTTGACAATGATTCCCTATTGCCAAATAAGTTACATATTTATATTCTTTTCATTTTCCTTCACCATGGTGAGAAATATACAAACATTTGAATATGGCAGTTGACCAAATGGGAGTTAATATAAAATGGTAGGCTGTGCCCAGGATAGATAGAACATTCTATCTTTAAAATGATATTGTTCTATGGACCAGGTTTAACGATAGAATTCGTTCGGTGTTTAGCAATGTAGCAAAATAAACACGGGCGATAACTCGAACTTAGTGCATTTACTAGGAATAATCCAGAGAGTAAATTTGAAGCAAGAAAAAACGTTGAGAAACTGAATTGAATATTTGTCTTTATATGGATTCTTTTTTAGGATAAAAGGCACATACAAACTCAAAAAGGTTTGTTTTGATTAATTTGGTAGTTATTTTCAGTGCAATCCCTTTTGTATTCTTCAAAATCATTTCAGAGTGGATCCACTCTGATTTGCTACATTGCAACTATATGGGACATATTCTAACTGTGGTGAGGGCTTGTCCCAAGACACAGTTAGATGCCGCAGTTAGATTATTCTAACTATGCCCAAGATTGTTGGCAAACCTTGTCTTTCTTGTCCTGCCGTGCATAAGGAAAGCATGGAATGACTGCTGTGACTCGACAGGCTGAGGCGATTTTACAAGCGTTGATCATAATCAGCAGCTCCATCAGCATGTCATTTACTTCATCACAACCGCTCTGAACAATATACACATCCTCTCCTCTCACAGACTCGCCTATTTCAACACTGCAAAATCAGTGAAAAAAATCCATTTAGTTCTACCGGTTACCTTACATACCTGTATCTTAAAAATTAATATATCAATGTAATCTTTTCTTTTGTTTCCTTTGTGACTTCAGAATATCAATGATCATATAAATTTTACCTGCATTCTCCGTTGCTGAACTTCTTTGTGACAACTTTTCCCGGTTCGATGCCAAGTCGATCGCAGATTTTCTGAGCCAAATCAGGGTGGGAACTCCCATTGAAAACCTTTATATTTGGCATCTTATGATAATCGACTGCTGACGAGGACTGTAAGTTCTTTCTAATGGAAGTTTTATGCATCAACTCTCTTGCGTCGCACTATCACTATCAGCACGAGATCATCAATGTCAAGAACACGCACTGAGCAGATTCCCATATGCATTCCGTCCCCATGATAATTCGGCCAAAGATGCGGAAGGACAAAATGTCCCATTCTGATAGACCCGTGGACCACAGTGCGCCCCCTCCCCCAGTTATTTTGCCAATATATTCTATACAATAGTAAAAGGTAATTTATGGGTGTAATATATATTCAATCATTTTGACGGTCTTTTTTCGCCTTCGTTTGCCCCCCCCCCCTTAAAAAAACAAACAAACACTGAAAAACAAAGTAAAAACAAACAAACAAAAGAAAAGCAGAAAAATATATTCCTTCCTACAGCCCTGGGGTCTGATTTACAAAATAACTTACGATTAAGACCAAAATGTGATTTTGCGAATAACTTTCTTCTATATAAACAGGGACCTATATACTACTATACAACTTTATACTATATACTTAGTATATAGGTCCCTGATATAAATTAGGGTCTAGTTTGAGAATCACTCAGTGGTATTATTGTTATTTTTATTTATTTATTTATTTATTTATTTATTTATTTATTTTTATTTTTTATTCTTTATCTTTTTTTAATTAACGAATCTCTTTCTTATTAAGAATTGCGGCTGAAAGATCTTTCTTAGAAGAAATTTTTATCAGAATAAAAGATACGAAAAGATTTTACAGTCAGCTTCAGTCTTCAGTGTAAATTGTAAGTACTTTTGTAAAATGGGACCTGGGGACTATAATTATACTCGAATCTGGGTCTAGTCTATCGACTGTTTTATAATACCCTGTCCCTGTTTTACCCTGTTTTATAATACCCTGAGCATGGTTTGTCATAAGTGTTCGTCTAGCTTCTATCTTGCCGCCCAACTGTTCGCCTGTTCCTCTCTGTGTTCAGCTTCAAAGAATTTCATAAGTTTTTCATACACTCTCATGACTCTTGCATTTTTTTTATTTTTAATAATTAGCACTCGACCAGAATAGATAAATTCATTGTCGGAAGGCCATGGTTTACGCGCCAATTAGGGCTTATAGTTGGTCATATATTGTACTTCTATATAGTCATGGTTTAAAGTTGACAAACAGACTGCATGATAATCAAATATTCACTTAGAACTCTTCCAAATTTCATGTCCCTTGTCTCTGGTTCACACTCCTGGGTGCATGGGTTTACTTAAGTTAGTCATATATTCAAAGTACATCAGGCCATCTTTAAAAAAAAATGTTTGGTTGCCCTCTCCCGACCGACTGGCTAAAAACGACCCGACTCGGAACTTTTTTTAACCTCCAGGAAGTATTTATTTATTTATTTATTTATTTATTTATTTATTTATTTATTTATTTATTTTTGCTATCTATCTACCGACCCATTTTTTTCATCCTGAGTCGGGAGAGAGAAAACAAAGATTATTTTAAAGTTGGCCTAGGCCTATATAAAGATACAGTATTTGAAAATCTAAATTTACTCAGATCGATAATTAAGCAGGTAAATTGCATAATAATAATAATAATAAGCAGCTAGCTTTTTACAATGTAAATGATAAAATTCATACAAAGAGTCAGGCCCCAAGGTGAGGCTAGTCACATGAATCTTTTTCAAGCTTTTGGGTGGCGGAAAGGGGGGGGGGGGCAAATCTTGAGAAACTTATGATACATATTAGCAACTTCTAAAAGACCTAATGACGAATTTTTATCTCTTTATTAATTTGTACATTTTCCTAATTTGATCCTTCTAAGCTTTTGTAAATAATTAAAAAAGGAAAAAATCTTCCCAAATCAGAGTCAACTAGTCAAGGTCATATTATAATTTACTTTTTTCCCTACAATAGATTTTATTTATTTTGCCGAGGATAGATTATTTATTTCCAACATTTGCCAGTCCCTCCCTTCACAATCAAATGGTCGTCTCCTAACCTATCCTGATGATGTAAACTTATTCAATTATTTGGTCGTTTCAAGTTTTAATGGTATTTTCTTTAGGGAAAAGCCCAGAATTGTAAAATTCATCGGGATTGTTCTGAAAAGGAGGAACCCGATGTGCTCGATGCCCAGTAAATCAAAGCGAGTCCTACAGTTTTTTTGTTTTTGTTTTTTTTGTTTGTTGTTTTTTTTTTTTTAGTACAGTAAATCAGAGTACATTGAATACTCTTAAGTGTGAATGTAAAAGTAAATAAAATGAGTGAAATATATCCATGGAGATAACGAACAGTATTCAAGCTCAAAAGTCCATTAAACAATACAAAATAGGAGCAGAGCAAACACGGACCTCTAAACATCAGAGGTGGGATCAGGTGCCATGGAGAAGTGAGCATCCCCTGCCGACCGGTCACACCCGCCGTGTGCTCCTTGTCATGATCGGGAAATAACAGAAAAATCCGTCGACAATTCAGTGTGTAAATAATGGCCTAACAATTAGTATGAAAAACGTCAGTCAGCATTTGACTCAATGATAAATTGTATTTGCTGACAAGGTCATTGTATCGACCATAGAACTTACGAAATGATGACTTTAAACGAGAGAGCTGATATTCTTGTTTCATCAACTTGTTTGTCAATAATTTACCTCGTTTTAGAAATTGTTCATACGTAGAGCATGCTCTTGCGTATCGAATCAACTGAGAGATTTATACCCCGTATGCAGGTGATGAAGGTATATTGCTGCATAAGTAAGGGAAGTTGACGATTGAAAAGTTAAAGTCATCACGTTTATCATAAAGCTTGGTTGTTAAATTACCATTAACGTCTTTTTCAAGTAAAATATCCAAATATGAAACAGATGTGTCAGACTCTGTGGTATCTTTTATCTCAAGCTCACCAGGATATATCGTATCGACATAAGAATGAAAATAGCCATTGTTAATTGACAATACATCGTCGATATATCTAAATGTCGAGTTGAAGGCCACAGCAAGTGTTTTCTTCTTATCACGTACAAGATTTTGGACAAATTCTGCTTCATATGAATACAAAAAAGGTCTGCTAATAACGGGGCGCAATTGGTACCCATGGGAATTCTAATAGATTGTTGGAAGACCTGGTCTCCAAAAACCACATAGATATTGTCAATCAGAAACTTAAGCATCTTTTTAATGTCAACTTCAGAGTATTTGTGTGTACAATCAGAATGTTTTTTAACAAAATAATTTTGCAAATGACCAATGACAAGGTAAGTATGTATATTTACGAGTTCCATTTTTATTGAAAAAGCAGCTGTCAATTATATCGAAAAGCCTGGACTTTAATTTATCGTGGGGAATGGTTGTGTATAAAGTAGAAAAGTCATAAGTTTTTAAGCTGTTGATTTTGGTAAAATCTTGCGATTTCAAATTTTCCAAAAGTTCCTTGGAATTTTTAAGTATCCACATCTGATTTACCCCACTTCTCGAATATATTGTTGCACAGTACTCTTGAAGTTTCTCCTTCACCACTGTTAATATCTTAGTGAGGAGTAGAGAAAGAGGCCTTGGTTGAGCATTTACTGGAACCCGCTATGTAAGTGTAAGACATAGTCTCAATCAACCAAACCACCCTGTCCACAAGTTAATTTTCGGAACTTCCAGACACAGGGAGCAACTCTTCCTATCCATTGTATTTAAAGTCAAACAAAAACACCAAACAGAAATAGTCACTCCCACAACCCCATCACCGCTCAAAAGTACGCATCAATCCACGGGAGATGACCCTACGTCTGTACATAAAATTTCAGGAAAAAATCAAGCACGTATCCCCGTAATCAAAACATGGGTTGGCAACGGTTTCTGGTTATTCTTTCACTCGTATTATCTGCTACTAATTGCAGCCCCATAGACCACTGAATTGTGAACATACAACATCATGTCCACTTGCCCCTCTGAGATTCGAATTCCAATCGAGAAAAAAGGATTAATTAGCTTGCTATAAAGAAGGGTTCATTCTAGAGAATGTGGGAAAGTTGATGTCCGAGTTTTCACCAAATATTCACAAATTGAACAGATTGTAACAATCTACATTCCCATCTAAGAAAGTTGGAAGGTTACAAGGACCTGGAGCCCGTGCTTGAGCAAGATACTAGTATACCTCTTTCAACTTCTCTGTCTCTGAACACTCTCTCAAAATTACTAAAATTAGCACATATATTTCCGCAAGCCAAAGGTTTTCAGTCTGCTACACTCCACATGGGGACCCTTGGCTTGTCAAGATGTATAAAACACTAGCGTTAAGTATATCTTTATAATCCATTTTATTGACAGACCTGTATTTTTTCATCCCCACGAAGCAGAATTTATTCAAAAACTCCTACAGAAAAAGAAGACCGAGGTCTCTTGCTTTTGATTCAACTTGACATTTAGATACATCGACGATATATATATTTTTTTCAATTTAAAAATATTTATTTTCATCCATACGTTGGTTCGATATCATCGTCGCTAACCACGGCCAAAATGTACGATTCTCTCCCATTCTGGCTGGTATGAGAGAGTTATATATGCGGACTCCGAACAGTGGCTTGCGAGGATGGTTCGATATATCAACTCGAAAGAAAGGACACCACAAGATTCTAACACTTCTGTTATCGCCAAACCCCTAACTCCGTCACTAACCTAACTCCGTCACTTTCGGGAAACTCCGCGCTGTTTGTAAACGAATGCGATTGTGACGTCATTTTTTACACGCTTACAACCAAATGCTGAGATATAATTATTACTGTCAAGTTCAAAAATAAATAACAATTACACGTCATCTATTGTATCTATCATATTTTATGTGAAATCAGTAACCACCTTTTTCCTTCATGCACTATTCCATCGATACCTCCGACATGTGCGTTAGTTGACATGCTCATTTTCCCATGTCAGTCATACATGTATTTATGAAGGTCTTTGCCAAATTATTAATACTGTATATGACATACCATATTAAATACAGCTAAACTATTTTTATTTCGTCTCAATTTGCCCTAAATCGCTACACGTTGACGATAACGTACTTGATGTTATTATACGTAAAATACTTTTATATTAACGTTATTTTTTTCTGTTGATGATACTTTTCCTAAAATACAATTTAGTACTATTTTAAATTTTCAAAAATAATTTTCTATGTTTACAAGTTTAAGATGAAGGGAGAAAAAACTAAACTGAAAAAAATCTAATTAATTCGTTGACATATTGTAGAGGGTCCTGGTGACGGAGTTAAGGTTCATTGGACGTAATGTACACGGATGTGATACGCGTTCTATTTATAGTAGTTTTGTATAAGCTCAATAACTGATATTTTGAAAATAGTTCTGAAAACAATGTCTAAGTTAACTACTAAGTGTAGCAAAAAAGAAACAAATAAAAAAATAATTCAGAGAGTAATGTGTTTTCCGCTTATAGTGATGGTGTTTGGGTAGTAGGGGGTTACTTAATTTATTTGTTAATCTAGAAAATCTATTTCTGAGACTCCTTCTTGAATGTTTGCAAATTACAGCTTTTCTGCAGAAATGAGAAGTAAAGAGAACCATACTTTATTGATTTTGCTCTGATAATCATGAAATTCTAAAATCATTTGTTTTCGTAACTTTATCCATTTTGGTGCCGTTACCAGGATATCCTTAGTGTCCGTTTTTATCCGGACTACTGAGATTTTGGTCAACGAATTTATAAATAAAAATTAAACAAATATCAGACGTTCAACTTTAGATTCATCAATCATTTTTTGTTATATGTATTACATAAAATGAATTCATTATTTTTGCGTCATATTTCCAAAATAATCACCGGAAGTAGTCCGAGTGAAGTAATCTTCTGTTTTAGTGTTTACAAATTATCTCAAAAAAATATTCATTGTTATCAAAAAACACAGAGTAAAACCCCATTATGGCAAATATTGCCGCCGCAAGAATACAGAGGGAGTTTAAAGAAGTTGTTAAAAGTGAAGAGGTAATGGGTTTTTATGTAGAATCTCAAAAAATACTATAAATTTTGTGATTTACCCGTTCGAATTTTCTTTACAAAAATGTATTCCGGAATTTATGCCATCTGTATATAATGTTGTTTCCTGTGTTTTATTGCATTAAATATTCGTAATGATAATAAACTGTAAACTCTTGTTTACGATAAGTGTTACCGTCGATTATGTGTTAATCTAATGACTTTTTATAACTACTTTGTAGTAAAAAAAATTAAACTGTTGGACAATTGTCCATGAACACATTCTCAGTAAAATTTTAATAACAGCGTATTTACTGTCACTGCTTCTTTTGTGTGGAGCTGTGTAATAGCATGTCCTGTACACCTGATCAGATTAATAACTGATGATTTGCAAGAGGGCCTAGGGGTCTTGTTTAACGTATAAAAATGTTTGTAAAGATATCAGCAAGTTTTAATAATATTGTTACATTTTTTTTTAAAGTTTTATTTAAACTCCTCAAGACACAATTTGCCCCCTTCAGTATGTTCTACCCAGAAAAACTTGCATCAGCTGTCTCTATTCAGTGTTAATTTATTAATTGTCAAGATGACAAAATATACATATATGTTATCTACGATATATATCCATTTTAAGCAGGAATATTATTTTTAACCAAGAGGCTGTTGTTTTAGGTAGCCAAATGCAGCATTAAGGTGGAACTAGTTAATGACTCTTACAGTGAACTGCGAGGAGAAATAGCTGGACCTCCAGATACCCCATATCAAGGAGGAAACTTTCATTTGGAGATAAAAATTCCAGAAACTTACCCTTTTAATCCTCCAAAGGTGATTTTTTTTTCTTCTGTTTTCTTGTTTTTGTTCTGTTTTTATTATTAAGGTCTTCCATCTTTACGGAAGACCTTATAGTGATTCTACTGTTTCTTCTTCTTATTATTTTTCCGCCCAATCTAATTTTGTGCACGCGATTTCTCGAAGACTACTGGATGGATTTTAATGAAATTTGCAGGAACAATGTGTTGTAATCTGAAGTTATTTTATTCGAGAGATTTTTTGGAAAATCACTTCCGGTGCCAAGTTACGGACCATTTTCTGAATTTAAAAAGACATTTTGTCCGCGGATAATCTCAAGAACGGTAAAAGATATCAAAGTGAAACTTTCAGGGATTATAGATCGTGATAAATCCTAGCCAGGACGTGACTTTTCGTTCGTCGTTGGTACTTCCGGTCTTTACCGGATGTGAATTAAAAAAGTCGAATTTTCTAACTTTTTTGTTTTTCAATATTTTTCTTTAAAATTAGTAGGGTTAATAGAGGCATTTCCAAAAAGGCTTAATATATAATTTGTTTAAAAATTGATAAATCCAAACTCTAGATATTCGCATTTTAAAATTTGAAGCGGGTCCAAAATGGCGGCTGTCTCCGTAAACTCCGACGAGCAGGTAGTCTCGTTCAACCAGACGCTCGGCTGTCTCCGTAAATTCCGACCAGCAGAGAGTCTGGTAAAGAAGCACGTAAGCATTTGTAACTGTCAGAGGGCGCTATCTTGTCTTCATTTTGATGACCCATTTTGAAAACGAATGTTATATATGTGGATTGTGACTTTATATCAATAAACTGATCTTTAATTTGGGATTCCAAATGAGTAATAACAATATCAATCGAAGAAATATGTATTACACAGGTAGACTTCACTACTTTCATGTTTGCTTCCGATAATAATTTTAGCGAGACATTGTAAAATTCACTTACCTATAACCGGTGGGCAATACCATAAACAATTCCTCTCTAACTGCTATAACTTTTAGATATTTAACTTATAAATCTTTAAGTTGTTTTTCTGTCGATTTATCATGTATTTGTATTATATTGTGGAGGTGTGTACTTTTCAGCCACTCAAAAACTTTACCAGAATTTCGGTAAGCCTCGTTTCGGCGTTACAAACGCTATCACGGATCTTTACCAGACTCTGCTCGTCGGAGTTTATGGAGACAGCCGAGTGTCTGGTTGGATGAGACTAATGAGCAGGTCGGCACTCGGAGATCCCGGGTGGCTGGTACCTCGCACTCTAACCTCAAACGTCAACGGTGTTCTACCATTTCGGGTTTAATCCCGCTTATATCTGAATTTTCTTTCTCATTTTTTTAGCTTTTATTTACGTTTTCATCTTTGTAAATAATTTTTTTTCTGTGTGAATCCTGCGCCATTTTCATTTGTTTTAAGTCTTTAAAAATCCTTGCATTTTTGAAGGACCCATGTTATATTTTAAGGACATTGAAAAATTATGTAGATCCCTTTTATCAACATTCTACATAGGAAAGGCATTGAAAATTGCAAAAACACTGATTTGACAAAATCTAAAAAAGAAGGTTGGCTTGGTATGTTAAAGAATCCAGAATATAGCCTGTTTATTACAATTAAAACTACTCAAGAGTTCTTGAAAAATTCTAAACGATAACCAGGAACCTTGTCAATGTCCTTAAGGCGTCTTTTCTATGAGCACATATAAATGTAAATGTTTACATGCAAAGAATATCACATAAGGATGGTATTCGGACGGAAGACCTCTCGTTGCTTGCAACGAGTATCTAGTTTTTATTATTATTTCTTTATTTTGATATAATTCTTTCAATTTGTATTATCCATTAAAAAAAGAATTAAAACTGGACTCAAACAATATCAAATTTGGAAAACTTCAAAAAATACTTTAGAGATGAAGAAATTCCTACTATTTGAACACTGTCTGTATATCAAACATGGTTTTTGCTTAATACAGATATACGATGGCAAGCGACCTATCTTGGTTTTTCTACTTAAAAAATTGCATTATATCCATTTAGTGTTTTCCTATTTCACTGTTGAAACAACATCTCTCCAATAGGTGAAGTTTCTCACAAAGATTTGGCATCCAAATATCAGTTCAGTGACTGGAGCTATTTGCTTAGATATCTTAAAAGACCAGTGGTAAGTGTAAAAAGGCTTGCATGCAGAAGACTTGTACATTGACAAAGTCATGGTACATACTATATTGCAATTTATAACTTCAATTTTACCCTCACTTCCTAAAGACAGTATATTTTTGTTATTGCCATCTCTCTGTCTGTATCCCTATCCCCATCTATCACATTTTCTTGTCATCGTAATGCTTTCTTCATTTTAGCTTACGGCTGGCCATGTTACATAAATGTGAAGTTTTTTGTTTACTCAAAGGCTGTCCAGGGGAATTAAATGGTTAAAAGCCCAAATGATTAATTTTCTGTTCTAGAAAAGTTATGCTAAGGTTGGCAGATTTGCAGTAAGGTTTCAGATTTTACAGTTGAACCGTAATTTCCAGATCAGTGACAAGATTATAGTATTGAAGCAACTTTAGTTAATAGCTATATTTCGTGATGTATCAAACATTGCATGGATGTTGATGTTAAGGTGGAATATTATCAATGTTGACTTATCAGAATATGATTCTGCACTAGATATGAAATTATTTATTGACCAATTGGGTCTTAAGATATACCATTATTTAGATGATGTCACCCTGGATTCAGTCATTTGATTGTGGGTAATATAAGTTTCATTCTAAAAGTAGTTTCTTGTTTTCAAACCTGAGAGAGTCAGTCAGTTTTTCTATAAAAAAAAATTCTTGTAGTGACTTTATTGATTGAAAGTTTTTTTTAATTTTACCTAAAGTTTTTGCTTTATTTTCATGGCACTGTACAATTAGTAATGACATTGTAAAAGTTATAAATTGCACAAAATTTCCTACTTGAGATAACTCTGTAATATGCTTTTTCAAGCATTTGACCTCGTTTACAGTATTGATAAGTGATTTTGATTTACAGGGCTGCTGCTATGACCCTCCGGACTGTCCTCCTATCTCTACAGGCATTGTTAGCCGCTGCTGAACCTGATGATCCACAGGATGCAGTCGTAGCCAAACAATATAAAGAAAATAATGAGATTTTCAAGAAAACTGCTCGACATTGGACATACACATATGCTGGAGGTTGTACCTACATAATTGTCCTTGACTTTCTTCACAACACCATATGTATCACTTAATTGTCAATATATTGTAAATGTACTTTTCTATGCTGGGTCATAATTCTGCAGAACCACAATTTCTGTTCAATCAGTGGGTAGAAAATTTCTTGCATTGTCATTACTTGTCCTTAATGCATTTTAAGCATGGCATGACAAATTTCTACAGAAAAATTATGACTGCATACAATGCAAAATGTAATCCCAAATGGATAAAAGTACATATACAGTAACTGTAATTTATTTGTTTGACAATTATTGTAATCATTGTATGTATTACAAGGAAAGGATTCACTGAGTTGAAAGAACTTATATCCAATCCTTTAAGTTTAGGACGTATAATACAATGAAATATGTTCAAATCAAACACACATTATATCTAAAAGAAATGTATTGAAGCAAAATGGAGCATAAAAATTCTTGCATATTAGTTTTAAATGTTTGCAATGAAATAGTAATTTGAAAAACACATAATTTTAAAATAGTGAAGGAATTGTTTTGAACTGTAATTGTTAAAAACTTTCTGTGTTGAAGTTTTGAACTGTAACCTCCAAAAACTTGCTATGTTGAAGTCTTAAACTGTAACCTCTGAAAACTTTCTATGTTGAAGTCTTGAACTGTAATCTTTGAAAACTTTCTATGTTGAAGTCTTGCTCTGTAACATCTAAAACTCTATTATAAAATCATACTTTCCTTGACAGGTCCACAGAGGGAGACTGATTATGAAGCTAAGATACAACAAGTGATGAATATGGGATTTGATGAGGTAGGAGATGTAAAATTGATTTTACCGATTTTATTTATTACAAAAGATTTTGCAACAGTTAAAGCCAGTATAAGTCTAGATGTTATCACCTGTTTGGAAGAACATTCTTTTCTTCTTTATAGGCACATGTATACAAGCTACCATTAATTGATTTGGATAATTTTTTTTTTTTCTTTTTTAAAATTTTCTTTCCTGGACATTGAAAAAAAAATTACATTCATGCAAAATAGAAATCTGCACCAAAATTATGATACAAATCATATCTCTTTTTGTGAGGCCTGCAGAGCAGAGCAACACTTTGGGTTCACTTTACCTGACATCTGTCCGTCCGTCTGTCTGTGAGACACACCTTATATCTTAAGAAGTGCAAGACATTAATTGCTTGACACTGTAGCCTTTGTAAAATACCAAGGTTACCGATCTCATGACCCCTAAACTTGATGTTTGACCTACTTTTCAAAATGATTCATAGTGCCAATATACAGCATATTTTTGACATTTAAAAGTTAAGTCTATGCTATTTAGCATGTGCACTGTTTGTCATAAATTATGAAAACACTATTAAAATGCATCGGGGTTGGTATACCAAAATGGATCGTTGTAGATTGACAACTTCAGTAAAGCCAGACTGAAAACTCCTTTGGCCGATTTTTTTTTATGAAATACGTTTTAAAGGGGCCTGGTCACAATTGCATTGTTTACAATTTTAAATTTCGAATATTCGTAGAATTCAATGATATCAATCAAATGCCTGCCAAAATTTGTAGTTTTAATAACTAATCCAGATAAAAGAAGTTGTAAACACACTTCTATTATATTTCGGTGTGAAATGCTCTAGCAACATATAAGTCATGATATTATACCAAAAATTTTAGAAAATATTAGCTTCAAATCTGTGTCCAATCCCCTTTAATAATTATTTCTGATAATTTCAGTTTCATCATTCATTTCAGCTTTGAGGGTTGGAGAATCATATTTTTATTTGATTGTCAGAATCTATAGCAGTCTTCTATCCATGGTTTTTTTTTAGCTCACCTGAGCTGAAAGCTCATGTGAGCTTTTCTGATCATATTTTGTCTGTAGTCCTTCTGTTCGTCTGTCTGTCCATCTGTCTGTAAACTTTTCGCATTTTTGACTTCTACTCCAGAACCACTGGCCCAATTTCAACCAAACTTTCCACAAAGCATCATTGGGTGAAGGGGATTCAAGTTTGTTCAAATGAAGGGCCACACCCTCATTCAAGGGGAGATAATTAAGAAATAGTGAAAATTTGGAGGCATGTTTTAAAAATCTTCTTCTCAAGAATCACTGGGCCAAAAAAGTTGAAACTTATAGGAAACCTTCTTTACATGGTGTAGATTCAAATTTGTTCAAATCATGACTTTTGGGATTAGAATGGGGTCACAATAGAAATTAATAGGAAAAAAATCTTTAAAAAATGTTCTTCTCAAGAACAACAAAGCCCTGTTTAGTCATATTGATATGAAAGCAGCCTTAGGTAGTGTAGACTCAAGTTTGTTCAAATCATGACCCCTGGGGGTGGGACCACAATGTGGTATCAAAGTTTTACACTGGAATACGTAGGAAAATATCTTTTAAAATCTTCTTCTCAAGAACAGCCATGATTAGTCATATTAATTTGGAAACATCCTCAGGTAGTGTAGATTCAAGTTTGTTCAAATCATGACCCCTGAGGGTAAGGAGGGGCTGTAATGGGGGATCAAAGTTTTACATAAGAATATATAGGAAAAAAACTTGAAAAATCTTTGTTTCAAGAAGAGCAAAGCCATGTTTAGTCATATTGATATCGAAGCATTCGCAGGAAGTGAAGATTCAAGTTTGTTGAAATTATGACCCTCTGTGTAGCATAATATTTTGATACCGCAATATATAGTCATTTTGAAATGGAAGCATCCTCAGGTAGTGTAGATTCATGTTTGTTCAAATTGTGATCCCCTGGGGGTAGGGTGGGGCCACCATGGGGGAATCAAAGTTTTACATAGGTATATATAGGAAAAAATCTTCGTCTCAAGAACAGAAAAGCCATGATTAGTCATATTTACTGGTATATGGAAGCATCATCAGGTAGTGTAGATTTCAAGTGTGTTCAAATCATGAACGATGGGGGTAGGGAGGGAGCACAATTTGGGATCAAGTTTTAAGAGGAATATGTAGGGAAAAATCTATATATAAATGTTCTGCTGAAGAACAACAAAACTATTTGTTATATTGATATGGAAGCATCCTCAGGTAGTTAAATATTCAAGACCCCCCGCCCCCGCGGAAACTAACTTTTTTAAGGTATAGACAATTGGTCTACAATAATTTGAAATTCTATAGACCTGACAAATTTCCTATAGACCAAAAAAATTAGATATCTTTATTTTAATTTAATTGTATTTTTTTCAATGGCTTATTCCTTTTTCCCTACACTGCATTATTTTATGCATTGGCATAAGATACATAGACGTTTATAACCATGATTATTAAGTAATGATTTCAGGTTTGTTTTTCTTGTCAATGAAAACTTGTATGAATAGGCAAAAAATATGTTCACTATAACATGTTGAAGAAAAAAATTCTAGGCTCTTAGGATTTGTTTTTTCTTTTGCCATATTGTTTAAAAAATTAATTAATCATGTTGCTGAAAATGAAGTTGATTTTTTATCATTTTATGTATTAATTAATCAATAGTTGTGCATAAATATCACTGAATTTTTTATACATTAACTACTTTCTATTCCCTTTTGCAAAGGTGCATATCTATAGATTATCATGATTATATAGATCGAGTGAATATTAACCTTTATCATGTTAAAATTTTAAATGTACTTTAGTTATATTTTTTATGTGATATAAATCAAACCAACACCCATTCTTTGGTTTAATGAGCCGGGAAATAATTTTATGGGATATTAAGACGTATTTACAGTAAACAGAGGAATTGAGGAAATTTTAACTACAAAAAAAAGTACGACTGTTTTTTAGGAATAGATAAAACTTGTAGTACTGCAAAATGGATCAGATGAAGGAGATTCATGAACAATAGAGCATTGAAGCTTAAGTTTTTCCTTTGCTGAAAAGTTTTATTGAGTAAAACGGCCAAGTTTACTCTATAGACAAATTTGTCTTGAGATATTCACCTTGCTATAGACCGGACGCATTTTCTATAAATTTTGTCTATCGGTTTACTGTTAATTTCGCACACTGCTTTTCAATACTGAACTGATTTGTGCTTTTTCCTAGCATATGTGATGATCAGGTGAGTGATGTGGCCCATGGGCCTCTTGTTTTCTTTTGCATGCATGAACTTTAAAAACTATTTCATTGCTCATTTCAGCTTTAAAGGTTGGGAAACATATTTGATTATCAGAGTCTGTAGCAGTCCTACCATCTGTGGATGTTTTTTTTCTTTGCAGGCAAATGTTTGAACTATTATGCCAGTAGCAGATAAATCACTTAATTCTCTTAGATTTATTTACATCTTTAATGATGTTATAAAGCAGGCAACACATGCATTCCTTGGAACACTCTATTTATACTACATGTATAGAGGTGCAGAAAATGATTCCTTATTTCTTGAATATTCATAAATAAAATGTGTATACAATCTCTATATGGAAGTGTGAGAGGGAAATCCAAACTGTTCTATTATCAAAAATGTTCCTCCCTGTAGACATCTCTCTTCAGTTAACTTTTTATGACACTCTTCTCATTTTTGTACATCTACTTAAAATTATGTACAAAGAGCAGTGTTTATTCAAAATGTGTATTTGCAACAGGCCTGAAAACAAATAAAATAAGAGGATAATCGTTTTATATCTTTGTAATGTGATCAAATACAATTCAGCACAGTAATAAATAAATGTATAACTAAGTTACAACAAATTCATAATCATTAGGGCCCATTCTTTGGGTGCCTTAAGGACATACGCAACGTACCTTACCCACTGATAATTTTTCAAGATATTCTTAATTTAAGATTAAAGTGCCATGAAATGTTCGTAGACAAAAAATAAGCATGCATTACCAGGGGTTTTGAAAAGATATCAATTGAGGAAAATTCTTGTATAATTCAAAGAAAAATATACAAAAATTTCTAAACATATATTCTAGATGTTTTGTTTATACAAACTTGTTTTAGAAGAAGTGTTCAACATCATATATAGACATTAAAATGTAGCACACAGTTCCTTTAAGTATTGGAGCTCTTCAACTCCAGGGAAAAAGACAATAAATTTCAAACTACGTTGCGTATGTCCTTAATATACATGCATTCATGCAGTGATTAGTCTTTCCATCTGATATTACTTGTCAGGAGCATATTTACTCTTCCTTTGGTCCTGTTGGGCTCCTGCTTCACCATAAAGTGGTGTAGTGTGACCTTCAGGCAGGTTATAAGGTCAGAGGTCAACACCAGAGTAGACTTTTTTGTGAATTCCTTGTCTGAAGTATATATTGCTTTGGACAAGTTTGGCTCATATTTCACATTTGATCAAGGGTGTGCAATGTTTGAAGCCCAAGTCCCTTTTTATGCCCGCCTGTTAAGAAGGGAGGGAATATTGCTTTGCTGCTGTCTGTCGGTCAGTCGGTCTGTCTAGCTGTCTGTCTGTCGGTCCACTAACATTCTCTGTTCATGTTCTTTGCAGAGATTGCACATACTGAAATGAAATTTGGTATACAGATTTATTCATAAGAATATTTAGGTCAAGTTCTGTTTTGGGTACAATGGAGCAATTTTTGACAGAGTTATGTCCCCTGGACTTAGAAAAACTTCCAATTATTTGCAGTTTCCGTTCATTTTCTTTGCAGAGGTTTCACATACTGAAATGAAATTTGGTATACAGATTTATCATAAGAATATTTAGGTCAAGTTCTGTTTTGGGTACAAATGAGCACTTTTTGACAGAGTTATGCCCCTTGGACTTGGAAAACTTCCAATTATTTGCAGTTTCTGATCATTTTCTGTGCAGAGGTTGCACATACTTAAATGAAATTTGGTATACAGATTTATCATAAGAATATTTAGGTCAAATTCTGTTTTGGGTACAAATGAGCACTTTTTGACAGAGTTATGCCCCTTGGACTTGGAAAACTTCAAATTATTTGCAGTTTCTGATCATTTTCTTTGCAGAGGTTGCACATACTTAAATGAAATTTGGTATACAGATTTATCATAAGAATATCTAGGTCAAGTTGTGTTTTTGTACGATGGAGCAATTTTTGACAGAGTTATTCCCCTTTGACTTAGAAAAATTCCAATTATTGGGGATAAGTGTTTCACAAACATCACTTGTTACCCTGTTCTTTACATTTACATGTACTAAATGAGGGGCACCATTTGGGATGTCTTCATTTCAACAGTATCTTGATTTATTTTCATAATGTTATCGTGTACTGTGTATGCCATGAAAACAGAATATTTTATGTATTGGACTTATTTTATGTTGAAATATGAAATTGATCAATCTTAAATTCAAATATTACATTTGAATTTTTTTTATTGCAGCACAAGGCAAGGGTAGCACTGTCATCGCATAACTGGGACATAGAAAGAGCAACAGAATTCTTACTAAGTTAGTAACATTAACTTATTAGCTATTGGAGAATACAAGAATGTGATGAGGATGCATGAGTGAGGAGAAACAAGGGCAACAAAACGACAGGATAATGACTTTACGAAAGTTAACACTGCTTCTCAAGTCATCATTTGTCATGAATGTGTATTGAACGTGAATTTCACATCACATTGTATAAATTGATGACTTTGTTTATGTGAGAATGATAACAGTTATTTACAGATAAAATGTTTACAGTTAAACACTTGTGATAAGGGACAACCCCCATTCTTACATGGTAGGGGTCTATTTTTATTATTATTATTAAATATTGGAGTTCATTACATTTTGAATGAGAAACTACAAAGATACTTTCCCAGGTGGTTGACAAACATATACAAGTGCATGTATTTAAAATAGTTTAAAATTTTTATTCATGCATGATTGTGTCATACAACTCCATACTGAAAAAAAAATAGATTGCTTATGTGCAGTGTTTGCATGCATGAATTTCAATATAGATAAGACAAGATTGTCATTTGAAATCATAACAGTCAGTGCTAAGTGAGCATCAGGATCTTCAAAAGACAACTGAAGAGAAATGTTTGACTCATCAGGTCTGTGAAAAACCTACAATCACAACTACAGATATCAAAAACAAAAGATTCAGGGTTTTCCTCGCATAATCAGTGGGATGAATCTATTTTCAGCTAGGTAAAGCAAAGGTTATAGCTTCAGCCTTTGAAGTGAATGCTCAGAATTTATATATATATATATATATATATATATATATATATATATATATATATATATATATATATATATATATATATATATATATATATATATATATATATATATATATATATATATATATATATATATATATTCACTTAATGTCATAAAGTATTGGGATAAAAATTTTTTTATAAAGTCACAACGAATGTAGCATCAAAACAGCTTGTGAATAGATCTTGAACATACTTTTTCCCCCTCTATGTTATTGCTGATTTGACTTGGAAGTCTACCAGTTACAATGAAATTCAATCCAACATCTAAGGAAAACAAAATCCTTTTTTCTATATTTGTTTTTAGATTTAGAGGACGATTATAGGGAAAAATAGGCAATTACAAAAGGAATAAAGTGAAAATTGGACAAAAACTTGTATGATAATTTATCTCTATTGTGATTGGCTATCTCTCAGTTTTCTACATAATCAAAAGTAAAGTCACTGCATTGAAGCAGAATTTGCAAGAAGTCAACCTTTTCAGTTAAAATTATAAAAAAAAAAATTATTTAAAATATGCCTCCCCCCAAAAAAAATATGAAGAGGACTTTGTTCAAAACAACATCTATTCACAGATTTATGCATCACAGATGTGTAATATCTTTTTGTGTAAGTGCTCTCTATGAATAATGTAAGTTTAAATACAGTTTTTTTCCCTAAGTTGATGGCAAGTGGTTATCAACATTTATGATATTCATGAATTGTCAGTCTTTTGGTATAGCTAACAAACAACTAATATGTCAATTAGGTCTAAATGATATGAATTGTATTTGCTGAGCAATATCAATAAAGATTTTGGTCAATGCACAACTTACATGGATTACTCAAATTCATATGTAACAAAGTAGCAGGTTGTAGAAATATGAAACTGAATTGCTTATTTAACTTTTAGTTGGGGACAACAATTCAAGACTTCTTCATTTTTTTTCATTCAAGTAGTAATTTTTACACAAGATAACTACTTTCAGACAAGTAAGGGGTTTTTTTTTGGTTTTTTTTTTATACATCTGATTCTTTGCACTTGAAAAAATTAAGCTGTATGTTAGGATCACTCAGTTGCAGTTGGTGCAAATCCTTTATTCTGTTATTTATTTTTTTAACTGTATGCCATTCTTTGCTCTTGTGTTTGTAATATTACAGAAAAGTTGCATTGACAATATTTAGAAGTTTGTTGATGATGTGAGCCAGTGCTAAGCTGCTAAGCAGGTGTTGTTTAACAGTGAATATTTATACACGTTTCGTGTGTGTCATTTTTCTCATATTTCTATATCATCCAAATTATAGCGTTTTAGTTCTTTGTTCAAGTATACAAGCTTGCTTCATGTATTACTATAATAAATCTGTGGTATTTTGTAAAAATTGGACATTGATTGGTACTCTCTCTGTGTCTAGGGTATGATTTGTCTTACTGAGTAACATCTATCTACAAGATGTGTATGTAATATGGGAAGATAAAAGTTAATGTTCTTGTTAAGTGATTTAGTGTTACAGAAAAATAAAATATTGTATATTTTATACTTCTGTCTAGGTTGGAGTTACATGTATTATTGTGAATGAGGTTTGGATACTTCTGACAAAGTAGGCATGTACATGTACTTTAAAATACAATAAAATAGAATTGCTGCAGAGCAAGGTGTCAGTATGGGGAAAAAATAAACTGCCAAAAAAAAAAAAGACACTTCACAACGCATTGTTGGATGTTTACATCTAATATTCACTTCTGGTATATGTTCTTCTTTTAGTATATGTTACTTATTCTTGTATGATTGCTACATGCAGTCTTTTTGAACACTAGGTAAATTCTTATTCCATAGAGTCTGAGACTTCCTATTGCCCATACTGTGTGAGAGTGCTTTAGTCCTTCAGAGTGACCGGGGGTAACCATAGACTATATATATACGTTATGCAATGTGTATTGGTGATTCAACACCATTTTGTTTGTTTGAATAACTATTACATATATGTTTGATGTCATGTTATTTTATCTGCGTGAACATGAAAGTATGACAATAAAACTACAAATGATTTAATTGTATTTTTAAGTTATACAAAATATCAAGGCTGATACCTGAAAAAACTTTGATTTTTATCAGGTCAAAGCCTGCTTTGATGAGTTGGAGTTAATAATTCAAGACTTACTCAAGGATGTGTCACTTCTAGGAAGAAATCTGTTATTCATGACCTTGAGATATGCTATGGCCTTATTAAAAATAAAATTCAAGGTTGAGGTCAAATCTCTAACAAGTTTTCTGACATCAGAATTCATTTGCATTCTAAATGAGGCACCAGTGTGACTTGCACACTCACCAATCAGATACCCCAGTAAATGAGTTTAAATACATTATGGGTTACTACAAAAAATACTTCTATGCTTTGAAAACCCAATTTTCTTTTTGCTATCAGAAAGACAATTTTTTTTTCATGCATTTCACAGATTAAATACAATATGTACATTATTATCTACTATTCCATGCTCACATTTACAAACAATTGTTTAATAAACATTATTTGTATCAATTTGAAGTTATCAATAAATAAATCCTTATGTATACCTGGAATGTCATGTGCAGGTGCATGAACATGACATTATTTTTTCTACCATGTTGGATCTCCGCCAATCAGAGAGCTAGGAATTATTCAAACATATGATAAAAGATCCATCCGGATTTTTAACAAAGAATATGAATGATAACAGTGCTGCATCTCCCACAAGATTCATTTTGTTATGAATTTGAATTCTGGTATAGTTCAAGACTGGAGATTCCATTTATCAAAATGTATTCAAAATGCAGGTTGTGCATACATTCTTGAGGTTTCAATATGGTTTCTAAAATTTTTTATGTCAAGGCCTTGCATTCAGTTAGATCCACAATCATTTTGTCACAGTTGAGGAAGAATTTAAAATCAGAATTTGCCTTTGATTTTGATTGAATTTGAATAAGATTTGCTGCACACCAAGCTAAGAATAACTAAAAACTAGGGATGGTAATTTGTAACCGGTTAACCGATTAATCGGTTGGAACGATGGTAATCGGTTAGGAAATCCGTAATCGGTTAGTCGAAAAAAGAAAAAAATGAAAATATGAGTAAATTAACTTAATATGCAGTTTCCTTAATATGCAATTTTAAAAAGCTATGAATGTTGGTAAGTTATAACGTTTTCACATAAAAACATGTATTTAGATATAATTTATTAAGGCTCTTTGGACTGAGGTGTTGGGGTAATTGGTCAATTTGTGAAGTGTTAATTGCTGTTTAAACTCCTTGTCCTTACCCAGTCTGTCCTGTATTTCTTTAATGATGATAAATAAATCACTGTTGAGTATTGTGAACTTATTACATTGTGTATCTTTTGCAGTTATCTGCCAAATTATATTTTTATGCAAACATTGAAAATTAAGTAGTAGTGTAAACTTTGTTTCTAATTATGGTGACAATGCAGAATGACCGTGTGTAATGTCTGAGCCCCGGGGTCGTCATAAAGTAATCAATGTCCTACATGTATCTCATGGATGTTTTATGGTTTTCCTTTCAAAATTGAATTGAAATACGTAATGTATACAGATAAAGCATAAACAGAATATTAATAATGCTGTTTTTTAAATTTATTTATTAAATTAATGCGAGGGGGAGGAGTATGATTAGAATTAATTTTTTAAAAAACCGTGTCCGGAAATGTATATTTTGTTATGATTAACCAGTTAAAAGGTCGGAACGTCTTGCGGTTAACCGACTGACAATTCTGTATTCGATTGCCATCCCTACTAAAAACAGAAACATTGTTTGTAGTAATAGATTATTAGAAGGGTTATGTGGGAAAAATACAAGTCTACTCAAGAATTACAGATACATGTAGTACCAATTGGCATGCATCCCTATTCAACCTTACATAAAATATCTATGGGTACACAGAGACTACAATTGCCTTGATCTCTGCATGTTCAACCTTCAATCAAATGTCTATGGGTGTACAGAGAGTACTAAGAATTATGTGCATATCTATTCAACTTTCAACCAAAGGTCTATGGGTGTACAGAGATTACAATCACCTGCAATCTCTATATTGGCCTGCGTAGCTGTCGGTTGAGCACCTGACTGGTGAGTCAGGGGTCCCGGGTTTGATTCCAGGTCCAGCCATACATTTTCTCCATTCCTGTTACAGATTTGGTGCTGTTGACCACCCCTGGATTTGCAGGTGAAAGTCCTGCCAGGGGCATATAAAAACTTGGGTTGTGTCTTCAATGGCGAAGACAATTTAAGGAGGGAGGAATGTAATGGTTTGGGCTGTGGATATCAGCCTGGGTAGCTCAGTAGGTAGAGCACCTGTCTAGTGAGGCAGGGGTCCCGGTGTAGCATATTTTGATACCGCGATATATTGAACCCGGGTTCAATATATCGCATAATATTTTGAACACGGGTTCATTTTTTCGCTGCGATATAATGAACCCCCTTATAAAATATTGAACCCGGTGGATTCAAGATATTATGACCATAAAATATTGAGTCCCCTATCATTTTAATTTAAGAGGGAGGAGGGTTCAAGATATTATGACCATAAAATATCGAGTCCCCTACCCTTTTAATTTAAGAGGGAGGGGGTTCAAGATATTATGACTATAAAATATAGTCCCCCTACCCTTTTAATTTAAGAGGAAAGGGGGGGTTCAATGTATACTTATAATTAAAATTTAAATTATGTTGTGCAGAGTAGCTGCATGCATACATACAATGCATTGTCAAAGAAGAATTATAGAATTCATATTTCTATATACATACCGTTGTGTTGACTGGCCATTCTCGTCTGTCTGGTGGACTTCCCAGGAAATTAACCAGATCTCTGTACTCTGAGACCTCCATCTCCTCTTGAAGACCACGTTGGAAATGATTGCATTTGCTTTGATTAGTTCGATTTTAACATCAGAATGATGTATGTAAGCTAAACACCCCTCAAACTGGACTACTCAATTTGTACACTCTCTAAACACTGTATAGTGGTAATACAGAAACCATCAAGGGGAAACAATAGACATTTGGTATTGTTGACCTCCAATGACACCTCCCTGTGTACACACAATACACAGGTACTATATCCCTGTTACCTCCTCAATGGAGAGATACTACATGGCTCCTTGAATTTTCTTTTTTCAAATTGTAAATTATACAAAAAAAATTAAATTAAAGAAAATAAATAAATACCTTATGGGATGGAATAAAAGACAAAGAAATAAATATCTCAATTGTTTTTCCATCAGACATATCAAGTTATTTTAGTTATTTGATGTAGAATATTTGGGGTTTGATGGTAAAAGACAATTATTTTTAATTTCCTGGTGACAATTTCAGACTTCAATATTTTGGTTATATTATTTTACTCTCACTTCTTTAGGTATTGCACAGTTATTAAAAAAAAATTTAATATAGAGATACCCAACCCTTGAGATCTTACAAATAAATCAAAGTGAGTGTGTGGGAGACGGGTGTTAAATACTTTCACTTCCTTTTCCATAGTAGTCTTTAAATGGAGGTTCAATACTTTACAGCCACAATATTTTTAACCCCTTATAAAATGTTGTGGGGTTGAACATTTCACTGCCATAATATCTTGAACCCCCTCTTACCATTCAAAAATTATTTTAGGTCAATAATTTTTAAACACCCTCCTATACACATATATGTCTAATAGGGGGTACAACATTTTACAGCCATAAATCCTAGCTTAAACCTCCACCCCAACCTACCAAAAAAAAAAAAATTAAAATTAGGAGGTACAACATTTCAACGCCATAATCTCAGAAACCCCTATGCTTGAAACAGAGAATGTCTGTAATGGGGTTCAAAATATTATAGCCATAATGCTACAATATAATGAACCCGGGGTTCAAAATATTATGGCCACAAGGCCATAATATATTGAACCCGGGGTTTCAAAATATTATGGCCCTAAGGCTATAATATATTGAACCCAGGGGTCAAAATATTATGGCCCTAAGACTATAATATATTGAACCCCAGGTTCAAAATATTATGGCCATAATATTTTGAACCCCAGGATCAATATTTTATAGGGGGGGTCAATATTTCGCAGCGATATTTTGAACCCGGGTTCAAAATATCGTGGGGTTCAATATATTATATGACACCGGGTTCCCGCTCCAGCCATACATTTTCTCCTTTCCCGTTACATATGAATTTAACTTTCAGCCAAAGGTCTGTGGGTCTATTTACTGCAACCTTCAGCCAAAAATCTATGGATGTACAGAAATTATGTTCACCTGCAATGCAGAAGATTCCTGTACATCCCTGATTGGACTAAGACAACTACATGTACCCGGTATATGACATGATTAAGATTTCTAAAAATAATACCAACATGTTAAGAATTAAGAGATATATAGGCATTGATGGTCACCTGAGTATCAAAAGTGTTTCAAATGTTACCAACTTAGCCCATCTGGGACTTAGAAACTGGAACCATATGGCATGAATTTTCATTTGTTCATTATCACACAGCAAGAGGTTTGCCTGCTAGTTGCGTAGGCGTAAAGAATATTTAGGGTGTAAAACATTTAATTTGTTACAGGAAATGGCTGGACTGTGAATTGACCCCCAGCATCACTATATAGTCAGATGCTCTAACCAATGAGCTACACAGGCCAATATCCATGGCCCAAACTATTACATTCCTTCCTCCTTAAATAGTTGAATTTCACTTTCATAAGAGTTATCTCCAGTTGTCGGAGTAACTCTGAGTCATTTTTCACACTATAACCTTTGTAACTTACCTGTAAATATTTTCAACCTTTAAATGCTATCGAACAATTTTGATCTTTTCCTGTATTGCCATTGAATGGGGCAACATAAAAAACATAACAAACATATTCATATAGATTTCATTTGTAAGACAATTGCCCCATGTAGTTGGTAATGGTATAAAGGGAAAACAGTGCCTTATGCCGGTTGACACCAGATTGACCCCACAAAGGGAAATAACTTTTGTAAATGTGAAAGTCGTCTATTGTCTTTGCCCTCAAAGATACAACCCAGATATTTTAGCCCTGGCAGGCCTTTCACTTGCAGGTTCAGGGGTGGTCAACAGCACCATTATGTAACAGGAAATGAAAAAAACGTATGGCTGGAAAAGGAATCAAACCTGGGACCCCTGCATTAATAGTTAGGTGTTTTAACCAATGAGCCACTGTGGTAGATGATATAGCATGGCTCAAACGATTACATGTTATATACAAATACTCTGGGATTGAGAGCTGAAACCAGAGGACAAGAATTTCAGGAATAGGCCACTTGATTGACTCAGGTGACTTCAAGATGACATAACTGTTCTCTTCTGATAGAATACATGAACAGATAATGGTGGACAAAGATATTTCTTTCAATTCCATACAGATCAAGATTCTAAATATTGAAAAAGTCCTGAGGTTTCTACAATTTTATTTGTAATATTAAGCCATTTATAGTATTATATTAATCTGACAATATATTATAGTTGTCTGCTTATTTACAGGTATAAGATACTGGTATACAGTATGGAGATAAAATAAAAATTGTTATTCAAGCTGAATTGTTTTGCACTGCAGTGAGTGATGAGATTTTCAATACTTTCATATGCCATGGCAAATCATACCAAAGAACTGACAATTAAACAAATTTTAAAAAAGCAATTACCAGCAGATTTATCAAATGGAACTTTTGTCATGAGCTGTTTAATTACTTAAGCCTGTGTTTCCTTAAAACACTGATCTAGTACACCTCTTTAATTTGTAATAGCCTTTTAAAAAATCAACAATGTACCATTATGTATACATAAATTATAAAAATATATATGATATTATGTCACACGTGTGATAGTTTTCTATGTGTAAGAAATGATAGACCTGCTGTAGTTATTGTATGGATAATATTGCTCCATTACATTGCACAGTTTTTGCCCTTTCAACTATGCACAAAAAAAGAAGGAAAATAAAAAAAAGACTGCAGATTCTTAAATACGGAGAATGTGCCTTCAAAATCAACACTTTTTATAAGGAAGTTTGTCATTTAATTCTTGGTGTCTTTATTCTTTAAGTTTTTTTTTCAAACCTATTGTTTTTAATATTGAAAAAAAAATCAACAACACAGTCTTGTATTCATAGCAAAGCCTAAATACTGATCAATTACTTGCCTGTATACAAATGATTAGTAAATCTGAATAATACATGTATATAATGCCTGACAAGGAATTAGAATTTAGGATATTATTGCTTATATTTTAATAATTGACACTGGACACCCTGTATCCAAAATTAAATATGCATACAAGTTGTGTAAAAGTGTTAAAATCAGTAACATTATGGTCAAAATTTCAATAAATCTTCAATCTACCCTGATCACAGCAATATGCAAAAAAAGGATATAATATGTGGAAAAAATAATTCGTTTTGAGACAAAATATGCTTTAACAATCTGGCCATGGAATGTTTAAGACAACAATAAAATATAGGAGTTTTGAACCTATCGCAATTCAATTATATAATTTATATAATGATATAAATATTTCACTCCTATTTCTGAAAAATACCCATAAAGAAAGGCACAATATGTTTGCATAATAAGGGCATTACATGAACAAAATAATGCATTCATGACAACTGAATGTTATATATGGTACACCAACACCCAACATAACAAGTGTAAATATGATTATCAATGATATACATTTAGCAGGTTCACAACACATGAATTTTTTTGGAATACTGTTGTAAATTTAAAATATCAAGCTAAAACTGCTCATCATGTACACAAAGATCCTTGGAGGTACATCTTGGTCCTCTAAATACAGTTTGCCATTTTGATTACAACATATACATGTAGTTTCTGAGTTGTTTTTTTTTTAAGCAAAACTGTGCTTGTATAAAAATGTCATAACTTTAACAAATTTCAAATGTGAATAGTAAGTGTTTCAATTAGTAGCTTCAAATTTCAATTGGAGTGTCCTTTTACAGAACTTCAAAGAAGCAAAAACCTTTCAGAAATAAATTCTAACATCTGCCTCTTGAAATCTTATAGATTGTTTGCATAATACTTAAGAGTTATATAAAAGCAAAATCAAGCAAATATAACACTGAAGTTGGCATTGCTTTTGTGGCCTTAACTGCCACTTGCATACAACATGTAAATGTATATCCCTTACAAAAAATAACACATTTTCCTAGTTGCTTGTTCAAATTTTTTGGAAGCACATTTGAACACGGAATACATTTTACATTGCCACATCCCCATCTTGTGTAACAAAGCAACCAGGAGGCGTCATGTGGATAACTAAGACTAAATCCCTGGAAAGTTGTCTGCCCTTGACGGGGGCACCTGCTTTATAGATATGCCAAATCACTGAAGCTTCACACAGAGCCAGTATACTGTCAACTTCTAACATCCTGACACAGTTTATCATTTCAAGGAAACCATTCATACTTTACTAAATTTCAAACCAGCTGAAAAAGAAGACAAATCCTCTTAAACATCTTTTTAGCAATGTTAGATCCAAATTTTCTACACATCCAATGTTTTCTCAAAGAATAAAATGTAAACCTTTTAACCACAATGGATTTCATATTGTAAGTACTACTATCAGATCTGACCAAGTTTTGTAACATATACCTCTTTTTTGAGTACCCACCCTCGTCATTGCTATAACAGTTGCGGCAGTGAAGCTTGTTGACCCGGACTCGAACATCAGCACCCTGGGATCCATTTCCCAGCGTCGTGTGGCAGACACAACATCGGAAGCACTGTACATGGTAATACAGACCCAAGGATTCGATGACCATAGCAGCTCCAAAACCTAAAACACACAGAACATAAATAAAGGTCAACATGAGGCTTCAATCTCTTATTGATCAGTATTATGTAAATCAAACAGAACAGAATTCGAGAACTTGTCTTTCTTTTCAGAATCAATTATTGAAATACCATATGTTCCCTTTATTGCAAAAGACAAAATGAAAAGTTATGCAAATCTGAACTCCTAAATCTTACTATAAAAAATATCACTTGTGTTTCTTACTAGGTAACCAAATTTGTATTTAATACAATAATACAATGGAAAATAACAATTTATCATTGATTGTCTGCAATAAGGAATATTATTTCTGAATCATCCTGACATCATTATTGCAAAGCAAAATATCACAGGAAGGATGAATAAAGCATGGAATAACTTACCTAATTCTTGGGCACAATGAGAGCACAGCTGTTTTCCACTGACAGCCATGATTTGTTCAGCATGACTGGGGGGTGAGGAAGGGGAGGGAGGAGTAGGGGAGCCTCTGGATAGTCGCACACTGGTGTCTGTCTTTGGTCCATGACCATAACTGTAATTTGCTGGAAGAGTCTGAGACAGTTTGTCTGGTTCATTCACAGCACTAAACTGTTTGGTATTCAAAGATCTAGGGGAAATCACACTGTTAGTTGTATATGTCTGTTGTTTAGGGATAGAGGTATCATCTCGCCAACGATTGGCTAGCCCCTCCTGATGCACCGGTTTAATTGGTCCTCCATAAGAATGAACAGAATGGCGTTTATTATCAGCCCTTCTCCTCCTCTCTGCTTCCTCCACCATCCAGTGCGAGTGTGTATTGTGTTCAGATCTGTGGGGCCGCGTCTGTGTTGGATTATAGTCACTGCTGTGTTGTCTAGATTTTGGCACAGAATTAGAATGAACCTCCTTTGAGCTCTCTGTCTCTGGTTCAGCTTCAGGTTTTTTCTGCAGAGGAGTAGGTTTCCGGTTCATGGCCAGCATATCTTCTCTGGACCACCTCTGTTTGTCCTTGTTTGGATCTGGTGCCCACAAGGTCTCTAGTCTCCTTGGTCCCTGGTTGGTTTCCTGAGACACGCTGAACTGAGTCACATTATCACTAGGTTTATCATAACCATTTACTTCACCCTTGGTTTCATATGCTGAGCGATGTTTGGATTTTTCCTCCTCCTGTTTTTGTCTCTCTAGAGCCTCTCTTTCACGTCGAACTCTTTCTTGCTCGAGACGCAATTTTTCTCTCTCTTTTCTAATCTCTTCCTGTAGTGATCAATAAAAAAGTCAATGAAAGAATTCACAATAAATAGACATTGATCTGCTTAATAACTCTTTAAGCTGAGCAATACCTCCTGCTTTTTCAGCTGCTCCTCTTTTTCTTTCATTCTGCGTTCAACCTCCTCTTCCTCTTGTGATTGCTGTTGGTCATGATGCAAATCTCGCACTGGATGCACACCTAAAAAATGATAGCATCATGTATTTAGAAAGAATTCCTTATGCCACTATTTATGAAGTTACTGTTAACATTTTCAAAACCCCTTAAAGGATTAGACAATGAAGCTTGTCAGTGTTTTTTGATGGTAAGGATAATGTTCTACTGTTGATTATGAAGGTGACATACTTCCTTTCTCTTTGGGCTGATCCAGATTGACATGGAAGCTATACTCCTGTAAAGGTGCAGGCTCCCTTAAAGAGAATAGACAAAACTCTGTAAGATCAGTCATCCATTCTTATGTACAATCAAACAAATGTGAATAATCTACCAAGAAATCATTGCAAATAAGCTTTTAGTCCTCACCATACAAATGCATTTGCAATATCAGAATGAAGAAGTTTTAATGTTCCATGGTAAAAAATTCTTTTGATGGCTATTTTTAATGCTTACTCTTCATTGACCTGGTTCCGAGGATCAATGATCAGTTGAGATGTAGCAGTGGATATCTGTAGTGTCACTGGCTGTCCCACTGTGGCATCATAACGCGTCTCCTTGGAAGGTTCCTGTAAAAGCAACCATCTTTTATGTTGGAGGAGCATCAAATCTAATAAAAATGCTGACTATAGACATTTGAAAAATAACTCTTTAATAATCAAACATATTTCTTTCTGAATTCTGATCACAATGTGCCTTACAACAGAGATGACTGTGTTAATTTTTTCACAATGAGGTCAAATGTCAAGGCCAAATAAACTCCAATCATGGCATGTGACCTTATCATTTCACTTGATGAAATAAGCATACTTAAAAAGAGATACTTATGTTTCAAAACTGATCTTAAAGGTCAAAGGTCAATTCTTGAGACATATTCCAAATTACTATGGATATTTAAATATAGACAGATAAACATATATAATCAATCCATAGATAAGATCTTGCTTTGTAATCTGGCCAAAAATTTTGAATTAAGATAAAATGTATGCAATCTTTTTTCTTAGAATTATATTGATATCTTTGTACAAGGTACTTTAGATCACTGTTCTTCAATGTAGTTTGAATTAAATCAACAGGGAGGTTTCCCCATGATAGATTCTCATTAAGAATTCATAGCCATGTTTTGTAACAGTTGTTTTTGTATATTTTTTGTTACATAAATCAATCTTGTGGTCTCTTCATTGTTTAAATACGTAACAAATGACAAACTCCACATGCCTCTCCTATTCATGCATTCACTTTTTTTTTTATTATGGCATTTTATAGTGTAAACGGACAGCTGATTAATACATTTTATATGGCCTACTTATTCATAATGAATATAGAAAAATAACTCACTATTTCTACATGGCTTGAATTGGCTTGATTGATGTTGAACTGCAAGGAAATAAATAATAATAAATTCCAAGAAATACTAGATTAAATATTATAAATCATGGACATAGTTTATTGCTTTAAAACTTAATGGACATTTTATTTTTACTTTGACTGAAATTTCATATTTCATTTCTTAATAAAAATGTTTTTAAAGATAAACTTTTGCAAAAAATAAACCAGTACATACAGGAAAAACTTATTATGTCATGCAGTGACATTAATGTTGAACAAAGAATGTGATTAACATTTTCTACGATTTCAGGTCTCTCATGGCAGGCATTTTGTGTTTTGGTGGCAAATAACTCATTTTTCATACAAATCATTAACTCTCAAGTATATGATCCACTCTAAAGAGTAAACATCGGTTAAGTAAACTCAGATTAATCTCAAAGTTAAATTTCATGTTCATCTACAAATGTTTGTGAAAATTAATGAATTGTATGAAAAGTAACTCTTTGTTCTAATCAGCGCACTTAGAACTTGTCAACATCCCTTTCCGAGGTATTTAGATGAGAAATATTTAGAGGCCAATCCTTTAAGTCCTTAAAGGGACCATTTTGCAAACATTGAAAGGTTGCTTATTGTTTACAACATTATTCTGAACATCTTTTGTTCAATTCTGGAGTTATCTAATGCTCTCAAACTGTGCAAAGTCACATTTAAAAACAAAACAACCAAACACAAGGTCAGTGTTGCTTGTGCACATGAAAAACTACCACCTTGCCAGATTATATCCAGTCCAAATTGACATGTACACTGCACTTTTACAATATCCACTCAGATGAAAAACTTTCTCTAATGAGTGACTACAATTATACATTAAGTATATGTGGTCATTTGTAAAATCCAGTTCAAACCCTCTCAATTCTTTTAATGTGCAAAACTAAAAAGTCAGACCAAAATCACACACACATTATGCAAGTCACTGGTCAAAACTGCACAAAGCACTTCACTGAATACCTTCCCTACAGTCTTCTCTAACATTTCTTGTCTGACTCGCTCGAGCTCTTCTGTGATTTTCCTTAACTTGACATCAAAACCAACCTGGTCCTGAACAAAATGTGAATCTTCTGGTGGTAAAATGGGAAAACTGGTTGATCTTGAATGAGCATTCAGGCCATTTTCTTGTTTTGGTCTTGAACGGATTCCAAATTTGATAGAATCTCCACTACTCCCTGTTTTGCTGTGATCCTCAACAGAGCTTGTAACACTACTCTCTGCTTCATCTGAACTAAAATCACGACTAACTCTATTAATCTGAGCAGTTACTGTATTCTTAAAATTCTTAGTAGCCTTAAAGCTTGCCTTTCTCCCCAATTCAGTTTGCCATGGAAACATTGAAGTTAGGCTTTTATCGGTCCTCAGGTCCACCTCTGGTTCTGAGTCTACATCAAGGTCCATATCCACAAGATACGAGCCCTCTGATGGCCATTTCTTCATGACAGGGGTCCCTCTTCTGGGCATCCTGACCTCAGTTCGATCAGAAACTATTCTTTTGGTCCTGAAAGAGTCTAGGGTATTTCCTTTATTTCCACTCTGAATGCCATATTTATTCACCATGATTCTAGGATTTTTCCCATTTCCACTGGGGTCTTTTTGAGTAGTTTTTTGGTTAATTTTGGTATCATTCAAATTTAGATTCTTGGTTTTGGATTCTTCTGGCTTGTCTGGTTTTAGGTAAATATCTCTAGTTTTGATCAACCTTCCTGGCTGATCTATTCCATCTTCCTGAGACAAATGTCTTCTAAGTTGACCAGTTCCTGAGTGGAATTGCTGTGCTAAATTTGTTGCACTGCTAGATTTTTGTCTGGATAGATTTGTTTTCTCTCCTGAATTGGATGTAAAATGAGTCATGGCAAATGAAGAATTCCACTTGTTTTTAGATGGTTCTTTGTTGTTCTGTGAACTGTTTCTGGACAGGGTTAATGATGCCTCTAGATATTTGTCAGACATTGCGCCCATGTTCTTTATGTCCCTAACATTTTTGGAATCTGTTTGATGCTGTTTATCTCCACTGAATGTCTTTACAGATTCCTGACTGATAGCAGATCTTACTTTTGAATTGTTTCCCTCAGTGACTGGAGACCTGCACCTTGTAGGTTGTAGATGACTTGGTATTGCATCACTCTCAGACATACTTCTGGATGGAACATGCTTTTTTGTCATGACTTTATCATTTACAATCTCTGTAGATTCACTGCTAGATCGATTCTTGACACCTTCTGGTGAGATTCCAGCAGGTCTAAGACTGCTAGGACAAAATGATCTCACCTCACTCATCAGAATACTTTGACTGGGTTTTTCTGGAACTGGTGGCTTTTTCTGAACATTGACATCATTACTGTCAAACTTACCACATAGATTTTGAAATGACTGACTCTTTACTTTAATACTACTTGCCTCAGCGTGCAGAGATGACGAACTCAGACGTTTATCAGCATCACTGTCCAGTGAGTTGGAAGAGGAAGACCTCCCTGACCTTGACCTTTGCCACCGCCTAAGGATGTCTGGAGGCTTGAACAAATCCTCATCCAGATTACTAGGTTTCAGAGGAGGGGGTGCCTCAGAGGGTGGAGGTGGGGGTGGGGACTCCTGTAGGAAGGAAGAATTTGGTACTACTGGAGGCTCTGGTTCAACTATCTCAGGTTCTAAAACAAAAAAAAACCCTTCTCAATTTTTTTTCTTAAACTTCTACTTAACTCTGTTTAAACTACATGTAGTATTTTGGAAAAAAAATTGTATATTGACTTTTCAATAACATTTAGACACAATATGCTTGCAATATCTGTTTCTTTTGTTTTCAATAATAACCTTTATGTTTTTTAAGAGTGATGGTAGGCCTCTGAACCACCTCTGTTTCTATCTGAGGTGACTTCTCCTCACGGATCTCCTCGGAGACTGGAGTCTCCTCTTCCTCTACGTCACTCTCACTCTCACTTGAGGATTCCTTGTGAAAAAAAAACCACACACATGAAGCCTTGACAGTCACCCAATTATCATCATCATGTAGGAATTTTTTAAAGATATTTTGCATCAATCAACTTTATATCACATTCAATCCTACTTTAGAATAAAAATCATTGTTCCGTCATACAAGCAGTTTACCTACTAGCTCTTCAGTAGTAAATGAAATAATTTTCAAAGATTTTAATTTCAATCTTAGTCCTATACTAGAGTATAGCCCTTAATGAAGGGACATAAATTCAAAAGGCTAAGAAGCCCTCTAGCCAAGCATGCGTCTAATGATGAAATCAGTTTGTGGGCTGGATGTCATAGTATAAAAATGAAGAATTTTAAAATCTGATGTATTTTTTTAACTTAGCTTCATCCTGGGGTATGAAGTATATTTGCAGGAGACATTTCACAATTCAAAAAGAAGAAGAATTGTTTAAAGTTTACATCTGACACAAACCTTAAAACAAACACTAGACATTCTCAGATCAGAATAATTCACATCAGCCTTTGGCTCAGGTGAGCTAAAAAGCTAATAATTTCATAAAATGCCTTTAACTAGTTTCATAGATGACATATACAATGCAATAGTTTAGGTGATAAAAAACCCAGACGGATTTACCTTGCAGAATTCCACTGCATTTACTCATGAACAAAGAAGTGACACTAAGGTCATCTTTAACATTAACTGGTGACTCCTAACACATAAACAGATAAATCTTTCCTTACTTTTTACGAGTATAATGCTGTATGTGTTAGTCATTACCTGTTTCACATCATTGTTATTTGTCTCTGACTGTCTGGTGTCTAGGATCGGGGAGTCCTTGGCAGGTTTGTGCTCAGCCTTGAGTTTGTCCATGATCCACATTGGTTCATCCTCCACTGATTTAGGCTCCTCTTTCTGTGGCTCCTGATGTGGTGACTCCCACTTTGTGGAAAAGACTACCTCTTCTTTTGCCTCCTCCCTTTGTGCTACAGTCCTTTTAACTGTGAACAAAAATTAGTAAATTTTTGAAATTTACAATTCAATATGATTTTCTGTTGAATTTTTATGCCCCCGTAATTGGATATTTGGGGGCATATAGTTTTTGGTTCGTCTGTCTGTCTGTCCACAAAAACCTTGGCCATGACTTTTTGAACAGTTGGTGGTGGGGCTTTCATATTACACATGTATTCTGTGTGATGAGACCTTTCTTTGGGTACCAAATTTTTTACCTTATGACCTTGACCTCGGAGTTTGACCTACTTTTGAAAAACTTTAACTTTGGCCACAAGCTGCCATATGGGAGCATCAGTGTTACACGAATACATCTTGTGTTTAATCAAGCAGTGCTTCTTGTTTAAACAGTGTTGAAGAGCTGTACTGGTATTATTTAACATAGATTGTGTGCAGATTACATCATCCAATTTTACACTGACCAACACTAGTGGTACCCATATGTCTGATGTCTGCTCTGTTCTAAGGCAACACAAAAAAGGTTACCTGTTTCTTTAATATACACAAAAGAATGTTTTACTGATTTTTTTTAATAGAGTGGCAACTTACCTGGAACTGGAGGGGGCACTTTCTCTGTTTTCTTACTGGATACAGCTGTATCATGATGTCTTTGGTAATAACTGGGACTAGACTCTGGTTTTTCCTCCTTTCTGCTATATTCAAATGTGGACCTCTCAGTATGTCTATGGTGTTCTGGTGTAGACCTTTCATCATGTCTGATGTGATCTGATGTAGACCTGTCACTATGTCTATGATGTTCTGGTGTAGACTTTTCATGGTGTCTATGATGTTCTGGTGTAGACTTTTCGTGGTGTCTATGATGTTCTTGAGTAGACTTTTCGTGGTGTCTATGAGCTATATGTTCTGGTGTAGACTTTTCACTGTGTCTATGATGTTCCAAGTCAGATTTCTTTGCATGTCCATGATGGTAGCTTGGACTGTTAGCTGTTGTGTGATGGTCATGTGTTGACTTGTCTTTATGTCTTTGAAGGTAGCTTGGACTGGTAGCTGGAGAGGTGCTGGTTTTGGGACTGTGTGTTTTGGGAGCTAGGGCAGGGGACTTCCAGATTGGGGAGTGATTCTGTGAATTTGCTGGTGTTTCCTCAAATGCCTCATCCTCAATGTCATCATCTGTAAATTTATCATAGAAAATCATCTACTCTTCCCTTGCATAAAAAAAAAATCCCCACAATAAAGAATATTCACTTTTTATAGTGGCATATTATATTATCAATTATAGCAAAAATTTTTATCATGAATCACCAACACATGTGGTGTCATTTCAATGTTATGTGAAATAAAGTCCATACCAAATCTATCTGATATAACTCTTTTGACCCCTGCGTTATAAGTATATGGTGCAGTAATTAAAAATGTATTTTTCTTTCCCAGGAACATGATTCCAAGTAATGTATCAAATATATAACTGTTTGTAAATATCATCACCCTAAATAACATCATACCCTACTTACACATTTTTTGCCATTTGTCGTTAAAAAAAAAAAACGAGGACAGATACATAGCAACAAAACAGAAAAGAGATATGTGTTCAGAAAAGAGCAAACTGGGAAACATCAGAGAGCATATTTTAAATATTTCCTACACTAATCATAGCTATAGGTAAAAGACTGATATCCCATAAATATGAAGCATCACACAATAGAGAAGTAGGGTGCAATTTCGAGTGTGAAGCAAGTTTACATACATTTAAGGCATATTTGTAAAATTTCATTCACACAAAACAGCAACTCTAAAATAAATAAAAACCTGGCACCTCTCATTAAAATAAAAAAAAAATAAAAAAAATCAAAATTACCATCTAGGTCAGGCCAACCATACTCTATTAGTGATAATTAGAACAATAAGAAGTTTGTATGTTTTGGCAGATTTCTTAAGTTTTTAATAAATAGTAATGCTACAAAAACATGTCAAAAGAATATTATGATAAAGTCAAATTAACTGTGTTAAAAGATTCAGATGAGAATTGATCGAGGAAATTAAGAAAACCATGAAGTTGCTAAGAAATATCTTGGTAGATCTTTAGTTAAAATAACTCATTCAAATATCCAATTTATTAAATATAGAGATACTAACACTTAATATTTTATATCAAACTGAAAGTAAAGGTCTAACAAGAGCAATGAAACAGCTGCTCATTGTAGAATTACTAAGTACATGCATACAATATACAGCTAGCAGTTTGTGCTCTGAAATTATTATCAAACTTTTAAATGCTAATTGACAGATTCCGCAGTACCACTGACTTTTTGATAAAACACTATTTCAGAAAACTATCAACTAAGGTCCATATTTCATCAGACAACAGAGTTTGTCCACTTAAAGTTTTCCCTACCATCTCCAATCTCTCGCTTGATCTTCAGCTCAAGTTGGCCATGTCTGACAGCATTGTCTATGATGTGCTGGACCTGGGGTAATGTCATGGAAGAAATGTCTCTCCTGTTCATAGACAGGATAATATCCTTCATTTGTAAATCACAAACATCAGCTGCACTACCTGTAATACAGAAACCAAAGAGCAAATTACAGTAAATGTAAATATAGAAACCAAATTTCAATTACAGTAAATATAATACAGGAACCAAATTTCAATTACAGTAAATATAATACAGGAACCAAATTTCAATTACAGTAAATGTCATACAGAAACCAAATATTTAATTACAGTAAATGTAATTCAGAAACCAAATTTTCCATTACAGTAAAAGTAATATAGAAATTAAATTTTCAATTATGGTAAAAGTAATAGAGAAACTAGATTTTTTAATACTATAACAGTAATTTTAATATTTAATGTATTTACATTAAACAATGCTTCTTACATACTACACACTTGGAATTATACTTTCATAATGTGATTGCATGATGTCCATAGTATTAATAAATATTTAAATTAGATCTCATTAAGAATGTTGAGGGCAAAACGGGATGGGAATATTTTTGTTTCAATGCTAATGTAAGGAAAAAGGGCTGCTTTATTTGGTGTTTATGAAAATGATTGGGAATCTGGTGCATTTTAACAGAAACAAAAGTGTAAAAACGGGGGATGTCAAATCAGTCAATATTTGATAATCGGTTAATTGGACGATTTTCTGATCGAGTACCCGGGTACTCGGTAAAAAAATAAATACATGTGTGTTCATTTTCTTATTCCTGAGTTAAGCCTTGTTAAACGCCAAAGCTGTTTTTATCATGTTTATAATGCTTGCATATAAACATCGAATCCAACGAAAATGATTTTTGACTTACTCCGCATAACTGACTTTTAACATTTTTTTAAATCTTAAATTAGTTATTTCTTAATATTTCTTCACTTTTGAAGTGGGTAGCAGCAGTTCTATCCATGTTCAATTTCACTACCATATACTAACTTAATAATTTAAAAATGATTTAAAGATAATAGACCATACTCAAACGACGTTCAATGAAAACAAATCATTGAAGCCATCCAAAAATTAAGGGTCACAATAGGTGAAAACAGCTGTTTGCCAGGTGTCTGGTCACAAATTATTATATATATACACAGCCACAGGCGATATAATGGGTGTTTTACATGTGTAGATGACGGCACGCAAATTATCTTACGCATATTTAAGTTATTTTTTTGGTAAGTTTTTGGTAAATATATGTACTTTCAAATAAGAATAAAAATATACATCCGAGTAACCTAGTACCATTTTAGTATTCGATACTCGGACGTGGGATCGAGCACCCAGTTAACCGAGTACTCGTTGACATCCCTAATGAAAATAAGTTCCTATATTTGTGTGTGTGTGTTTCAACTTTTATTCTTATTAACTTTGGCATTATTGGCAATATTAAAAAACATGACTGTAAAATATATCCAACTTTTGACATTGTAATAGTTATGACACCTTTTCACAGATTTCTGAAATGTTTCACATCTAGATGTCACAGTAAACAAACATGAGGTCTTTACTTGTACTTTCTTTCTTCTTCTTTTAAACTTTATCAAATGTAAACTTCCCAGTTTAAACAAATTAAAGCTATTTCATTTTAATAAAACTAGTTATTCCACTTAAGCTATGAAACACCTGTGTCATATTTCTACCTTTTACTCGAAGGCTTGGTTCAAATGTACTTGAATCCCTTCATTTGATTTGATTTTTCTATCACATGGATACACCCTATTTTATGTCTAAAAGCCATGTTGATTTTGGGTTTACTGGGTTTGTGAATTCATTTGAAGAAAATGGACAATGCTCCTCATAATCCATACATTAGTGTCAAGATTTTAGCCCTTGTCTTGTTAACCTTAATACTCTTGTCCCAAAATCAATTCCAAATTATACTGGTTGCCTTCACGGAATAAACAGGAATGACCTAAGTTCAGGATACAAACATAAGAAGAACAAAACAGTAAAATTTTAAATTTTTTTCCCTCACAAATTGAAAAACAGGTGTAAAATGTTTAAATTCTGTTTTCTTTAAAGTTTTAAATTGAACCCCAAACCCCAACCCTTAACCCCTTTTCACTCCCCAATGGTATTACGTACATTCCAAAAATAGTATTAACTTGATCTCTGCCCCCTTTTCATTTCCCCATAGTATTACAATCCAAAAATACTTTAAACTTAACCCTCTTAGATCTTTTCACTCCCCTATGGTATTACATACCAAAAATACTTTTAACTTTACCCTCTGCCCCCTTTTCACTTCCTTATGGTAATACATTCCAAAAATAGTATTAACTTGACCCTCTGCCCCCTTTTCACTTCCTTATTGTAATACATTCCAAAAATAGTATTAAATTGACCCTCTGCCCCCTTTTCACTCCCCTTTGGTATTACATCCCCCCCCCAAAAAAAAAATCAATCGCTTCCTTTTAATTAATAAAATGTTGTATAGGATGACCTAAAACTGTATTAAGTTCTAGGAAATTTGAATAATACTTGGTGCACAAAGTTTACAACTATTCCATTTTAACCATTTGCTCGACTTTCCCAAATAATGTAAAGGGCAAGGTTAACTTAGGGCTTTTTTTTGGCCCTGTGAATTTCTGAAAAATCTGAACTGCTTAGTTTTAGTTAACAATGCATTAAATATCATTTGGGCCTCTGGTGACTGCATATCTATTAAAAATGACATAATTTTTTAGCTAGTCAATGCATTATGATGTCATTAATTGCATCATTATTTCCATATCCTGAAATTTTTTTCAAAAATAGTCAATTTTTTTTCAATATTTCGTATAGAGCACAACCTCTTGATTCAAAATGTGCAATTATATGTAAAGATGGGACTGATGAGTATAAAACTTGGCAGTATTAGGTAGATATTTTAATTATTAGGTAGATATATTAATTATAAGGTAGATACATTATGGTAGTCTTTCTACATCTTAATATATCTAGGTTTGAATTAAATCACTTAAATAGACAACTTATTTAATTTTTGACAGCTGTATAAATAAAACTTCAAAAAATAAAACACATACAACATCTTTGGAACTGGATATGCAAACACTGAACACAAATATTTATACTGTACAGCTTTGAAAAAAAATGAAGCCTTATTTTATCTGCTGGTTTATTTTCACTTCTTTGAGAAGAACTCTGTGTGACGTTAAAATAGAATTTACTTCAAATTCCAATTTCAAAATGATATTTAAAAATCTATAGGAGATTAAATATGAATATAATCAGGAGAGAAGATTATCATGTCTGGTGTGGGGTAGGTGACCTTTATATAGACAAAGTCTGCGGGGGGATTACCTACCTATCGTGACTTTGTACACCGTTACGGGCTGTTTCTTTTCCACGCCTCCTGAGATACTAAATCCAAAACCTCTGGATGTGTTCTGAGGCTTCTGTAGGTTTATCTTTATATTTTTCTCTGTGAAAGCCTGAAAAACAACATGTTGTTAGTGACAGTCGCAGAAGATGGCCACAGCAAGTGTCCGGTAGACAATTGTTCCTCTGTTTGCATTTAGGTAACACAAAACCTTGTTTATGAAACAGATAGAATTCTACAGTGTCCTGCAATTACATTAAGTTCTTGTGATAACATTACAGATTCTTGAAATGTTTTGGGTAAAAAGGTGTCACAGATGCAAGGTTTTTTCAGAACCAGATTTAAAAGGAAATAATCTTCACATTATATTATTAGTTTTAAATGTCTTTTATTGGATTTCATGTAACAACTATTACTTTTTTAGTAACTTCTGTTTGTATGAAATGCATAATTCTGAAAAAAATATATTTTCAGAAAATAACTATCATCGGTGCACAGAGAGTATTTGGTATTTTACAGTAACAAAGGTTCATTAAAAAAAAAAAGCGGACATTCATAATGCATAAAGTCTGAATAGATAATCTACATCAAAGCTTTAGAAAAATCAGGTAAACAGAAATTAGGACCAAAAAAAAAACCTTCTAAAATCTAACATCTGTGATGTATATGATATTTACCTTACTTATTTTATTACAAATTTCATTTCACAGGGAAAAGAAAAACAAATTGTGCATTTTCAGATACATAAAATATTAATTTTAATTTATTAATTTTAAATGTCATTTTCACATAACTTGCAGGTAAAACATGTATTGTCTATTTAATGGCCTAAAATGCTTGGCATGCATTCCTAATGCATATTCCCACCAATCTGATGTCTGAGTTGTCATTGTCTTATGTTTTATTGATATGAAAGAAACCCATGGTACACATATCATTAGTCTATTAAGCATTATTTATTGTCTTCATGTTAAAAAACCAGAATCAATACATTCCATTCTAACAAAGGCAAGCAAACTGCATTTAATGATTTTCTGTGGGATGATCAAGAGAATACCTGCCTTTCTAGTTTTAGAACATTGTAGTAATCAAATATGCTAATGAGGGAAAGCATGATATTGCAATTTTAAAATGCTTTAAAATGGTTCAGACCAGCCATAACAGAAAAATATCCCAATACCAAAGTTGTCTCCCTTTATAGAGACTCTTAAGGAAATGTAAAATGCTTGTCTTTGTAACATCCCTATTAAAACTTGTGCACATGCAACTGTGACAGTAACTGTTGGTATGCATACCTTTGCTGGGTGTGATTTTGCTACAGGGCGATCTGATAGTTTTACTGGCTGTGGGCTATTCGTCTCTTTTTTCTCCAATTCCTGCCACTTTGAGCGAGTTCGCCCAGCCTCCACACTAAACTCAAATTTTTTCTTTGGTTTTTCATAATCCACTTGTTCTTTTTTCTCAAAACTTTTTAATATGTTGCCAATTTTACTAACAGATGATTTATTATCTTCACTCTTTTTGGCAGCAGAACTGTCTTGCTTTGACTGTGTTCTCCACGAGGAATCACTACTAAAAGATTTTTTATTTTCTGACACTTTCCCTCTGTTAAATTTGTCATCATGAGTGTTTCTTGGAGCACTTGTTTGATCCTCCACTGACTTTTTATCCAGTCCCTCGTGTTTACTACCCTGATCTTGTTCATCATCATCCTTTGCCCAGTCCGCCACCTCCTTTTCCTCGTAACTTGCTTTGTCACTTCCAACAGAATTCTGAAATATACAAAGGTGATCAAACGCTGTTCACAGTTATACATTTTCTCAATTTTTTCTCAAACTAAGACAATCAGTAATTTTTACCAAATTTTTATGGTCTGCATGCATTTGCATGGATTACTCAATCATTTTTTTAGCTATATATATAGATGAGTACATAGAAACACTTACTGCTCTATTTTTCAGAGACAGACGCTGCTGTAGTCTGACAGATGGCGCTGTCTCCTGCCTGATAAGTTCTCTCTTCTGTATAACATCCTCTACAGGCTCGGACTTTTTACTGAGGAAGTCGTTGTCATCATCATCCAGTGGGTAAAAATTCAGTGTCCCCGTACTCATTCTCTTCTTTCTGCCAGGGAAAAATTAAATATCATAAGCCTCCAAGGATTTCTTCTTTAAAACAATCATTTTTTAAATCTACAGACCAATATATAATCTATAGTACATATTCTTTATATAAAAATCACTTTTCAATCAAACTGCTTTATTGTATTCCATTCTTTTGTAACCCAATTTTTATCTTTCAGAATAATATTATACCTCTGCTCCGAAGTACTTAATTGTCTCCAATAAATTTTTGATGTGACATCACCTTATTTGACTAAAGTATCTTAAATGTATAATTATAAGTCACTTCCTAATTAAAACTCAATAAACTAACCTTTCAGACATCATCTCACTATACGTCTTTGGTTTCCTCTTTTCTTCCTCTTCTTGAGCCAATTTGTCTGTTTCATCAACTCGCTGGTACGCCGCAGAAGATGCTCGCCGCCGGCGGTTCTTCCAGCTACTCAGATTCTGTGAAGTACAATGTTTAAATCACTCAACAGCTCCCATGCAACATTTCAGCTGACCAGAGGAGAAATAAGCAAGCGAATCAAGATTTACTTAAATATAATTCACAGTATGAAAGCTATACATAGAAAAAGAAACAAAAGTACATATGTTGTGTTACTGACATCTACAAGCTGTTGTATAGGAAATATATATTGTACTAAAAATAAACTAAGGCTTGGCTATAGGCATATTGAATTGGCCTGAACTTTGTATTGGGCTTATATTTACAGGTACCATATCCTTATCAGTCAGTACCCAAGGGGATTGGGAAAGAGAGTTTGTTAATAAACCTTGTATAAACCACAGCTGAAACTAAGAATTAGAAATTTAAAATGATTAGTTCATTATCCCTTAGGTGGTCAATGCCCATCCAATAATCCTTTAATTATATAACCAATACAATAAAAATCATTGAAAATAATAATAAAAAAAAAAACATGCTATTAGTATGTATCCTACAATTATAAATTTTATATTACAGGAAATAAAAGTTATCAGTGATTATAAGAAATGAACTGTTTATACTAAGCTAGATATAAACTAATAGTAGGTCAAAGGTTAGTAGGAAGAATGAAGTGGGAAAACTCACTGATTGCCAGTCGCCAAGGTCATCTGTAGTCTGGAAAGTGAAGGTCAAGGTCAGGTTAAAGAGAAATACATCAACACTTGTGGGGAGCAAACTACAAATTGAAGCTCATGTCTAGCTTTTGCAGTAAGCGTATTCATCCATGCTGCCTATGCTCATGATACTAAGGCACTCCGGTATGCAATTAGCTTTCCATAAGCACGTTTTGAAATTTAGTTAAATTACCGTATTCATCATCCCCACCCCACCTCCCAACTTACACCATTTAGTGATGTTACTATTATCTGCCCACAACTCTTGTTACAATATGCCATTTCTATTAAACATGAAGCTCTTAGATTCCAGCAATCTGCAGAATGACTGATCTATCATGGAAGCTCTTCATTTACACACTGCAGCTTAACCAGTAATTCAAAAATATGATGCTCAGGCTATAAATACGCTTTTTAAAAATCACTACAGTGAATAAATATTTCAACATTAAAGAACATTACCCGTATTCAAAAAAATGAATCTAAATATGGTAGTCACTTGGGTGTTTTAGTAAAACAGTTGATCAAAAAGACATTGAAATGGTAGGTAATGGAAATTGTTCAGCGTGAATCAAACTCCAAGTTGTAAAAGTGAAATGTCCAGAGAACATCTTCAGAATAATCAACAAAGTAAATAATTATCAACATTAACTCCTTGCTTGAATTTTTTAAAAACATCTTCTGTAGATTCTGCAAATAATTCTTCTGAGAATCAAGTAAATAGACTTGGGCATCAACAAGATGGGGTAAATTTAATAGATAACGATTCATACTAATTAATGTGAGTTGTGTTCGGAGAAGTACTGTAAAGTAAAAAAAAATTATTCAACAATGAAAGTATTTATGGTATCTTCATATCCGTGAACATTAATATAAAAGATTTTTGCTTCTTCAGACATGAATATTTTGTTAAATTTTGGGCTTAAAAGAGCTATTTATCCTTTTTATCACATAGACATATTTTCTGAAAATTATGGTGGTTTGAAATGAATCTAATTGTGTATATACATGTATATATTTATATATATTGATGATATGAATGTACAATTAAGTGTTTTTTATACATGGATTTAACATGGATTCAGTAAATCAGGGAAAAGAATTTAGCTTTGATCTCTATAACTATAAATACATTATATATGACAGAGGTTTAATGATGTATGATTAAGATGATCAACATTCTAAATTTACACATTCAACTTTTAGTGTTACTGTATTAATCAAATAATAATTCATTTTCTTCTGCAATTCATGAAATGACACTAAGTAAGCATTCATGGATTAATTATGGCTAGGGTTCCATGTATTTCTAGTTCATAGCTGCAAGCATTTGACTAGCAAACAACATCTGACATCAAACAAGCAGATACACTACAAATTAATACACCAGCAGCTCACTCCAAGACATGGACTTAGCTCAGATATATAACTACTAAATTTGATGCTTTTATCCCAAATTCAATAAACAGGTTATAAACTTAAATGCTTCAGCTGAAATCATGCGAGAATTCAATAACTTTAAATCTGATTTCTGAATAATTTATCAAGTTGCATAACAAGTCATTAGAAAACAAAATTTTTAATGCCTCTTTATAATACATTGCATTTAGTTTCATATTTTTTTTTGTTTTATGTTGAACATTCAGTTTACTAGCAAAAAATTATTGAACTGATCGATGTTTGAAAATACTGGCAAGCAACAGAAAGATATTCCAAGCATTTCTGAAACTCATTACTTCACACTTATTATGACTGTTGATAAAATGTAATTTCTATTTTCAACAACTTACCGACTGCCAGTCCACATCATCTTTCTCTGGAATGACCGACCTTGACATCAATTTGGTTTCCTTGGCCGCCTCTATTTGTTCCTGGGCCTCCTTGGCCAGTTTGTCTGCTCCCTTAGACTTCACAAACTGTAGAGGGTCCAGTGTAGAGGAACTGGCCTTTCTCTGGGACTTCAAAGTACGTGTTGGAATATCCACGCTAGCACTGTCTGATGACTGACGTGAATGGTTACCTAGGTAACTGCTGCTGTCCATACTGTCAGTGGAGGAACCACGCCTGTGATGGTTTGAGTTTGTATGACCATGGTCATCCACATTGATACTGTTCTGGGTGGCAGAGAAATGGTAGCCACCACTTGTATTTAGAGAGCCTGCACTGTTGTATCTCCTCATTTTACTTGTTACAGAACTGGGCATGCTTTCATCTTCCAAATCAAGACTAGGGGTGGATTCCTTCGAGACAACAGAATCACAAGAACTATCCCTGATGTGTTTGTTTTCTAATAAATCCTCATTGCTCACTCGCGAGTTGGTATCATGTGAACTGTAAGCGCTGGAGGTCTGGTCAGAGGAATCAACCGAATCATTCCTGTGTCGTTCTTTTGGGAGGAGGTCTTTTCCACTGTACCGAACAATCGCAGAGAAAGCAGACTGGTCTAGTTGTGGACCACTGTAGGTTTGAGAAACACTTCTTCCTAACCAGAAAATGGTAATGGCCACCTGTAATAGCAAAAACATAAACAGAATAATCCCATAATCCTCTGTAATGCCACTTTCTAAAACATTCATTGATAAATTATTGTAGACTTAGCTACATTTATAAAAAATACCACAGGTTTTGAAAGTTCTGAGGTTTCTAATTGGCAATCAAAGAACACAAAACATAAATACTGTCCAGGTCCAATACAATTACAGGGAACTGCATTCACTACACCTTCCCAATCAATTTCACTGGAATGCACACCTTTCAAGGTTAAAGTTTAGGCTCTCCAAGGGATCCAATCAAATAATCTGTCTTTTAGACATGTTTGGTTTGCAGCTCTCACTGTGGGACTACTTATAATCCACAGAAGTCAAAACAGGACTGTATAAACTTACAGAGACGCCTTAAATATTCTAAACATTGAAAAATGCCAAACTAATCTGTTTAAAATTCTTCAATAGAGTTTTGTCCTGTATATGATCCATATGAACGATTTTTAAATTCTCTGTATCTGGTCTAGAAAAGAAATGTTGGGAGATTAATGTTATAGCTAACAGAGGAAATGACAGACTTTTGAATTTTTTACAATCTGTTAGTCAGGCATGACATATTCCTAAGCCCAGAACAAATAATAGCATTAAATCACTAGTACACATATATAATCTTACATATATGGAGAACAAATGTATAATTAATGAACTCAAGTGTGATGTGAAACAGACCACAATCCAAACGCTACCAAGTTCATTACCATACAAAAACAATTCTACCAACAATAATGTTTGTGGAGTATTGGACAAAAGCACAATCAGGAAATAGCACAAATGTATATTATGTGTGACCTGTAGATATATCTGTACCTATTACTGTTACGAAAATTCAAAATCCATCGCAGTAAAATTTCATTTCTTTCTTGTACAGCCCACGTGGCTGCAGCCAATAGAAAATTAACATCTAACAATAGGCCTAGCTCCTAAATGGATCATGATTAAGTACTGAAGTAAAAGCCACATTCTTCCACTTTTTAAATTCATTTTGTTTATTTAAATTTAGAAACTGTTCTAGAGGACCAGTGGCTTATACATCTATTCCTTTGAGGGGCACAAAATCATCCTATTTTGTGCTCCACAAGTATATCAAGTAAATAAAGTTGGACATTAAACATATAAAAGCCCTGCCTACCCACGAAATGCCTCTTCTTGAATGTGCTAGGTAGGAATGGAGGGGTTAAACGGATCTGAGTCTAAAAATACTGTCACTAAATTCGTAAAGCATTACGTATAAGATATGTGAATGTCAACTCCACCCTGTTCGAAATGATAAAATCAATACTTTTACCAACAGCTACGTCAGTCGCACCTATGCAAACATCCAGGTCTACACAGGTGTATACTGTATTAAATGCTGCTGTCTGGAAACTAAATTCCTAAAGAGAGTACGGGAATATTACCAAGTTGCACATTGCTGCATCATAAATTAACGATTACAATCCCCACCTCTTTTTTATTGAAGGATATTCAATCATTTTATTTGCATTGTTGAAATTCTTCATGGAATTTATGCATGTTATGTGGCCCAAGTTTCCTTAAGAAGCCCACTTTCATTTTTTACATCGACACTAGCAATAAATTCCATACAGCTAATTGTAATCAAAAGGTACGGATCAGGTGTATATCTTCTATGATTATCTATCTATTGCAACTATGGAAAATTTTATGGGGTTAATTTTTTATGATCTTTGTTTATCAAACTTTCTGCATAAGGTTTATTTTTGGGGTAATAAGGAAGACAAGATAATCACTTAATGTACAGGGTATTACAATTTTAAGTACCAGTAAAATTTGTATAGATGTTAATTTTGCAAAGGTTCTCTTATCACTAAAATCAGTCCGATGTGAACTTGTATCATGTTTACAGCACAAGTCAATATATAAAAGATCAATCTTCATATTGCTTAGTATCTCCATGACTATCACAGCTACACTGCATTTACAAAATTATCAAAATTATAAAATCAATGACAATGTATCAGATTATGTCCTAATTGATTGAAATACATTTTGTGATTACAGTTGAACCTTCATATCTCAAACACTGATATCTTGAATACCATGGATATCTCAAGTCTGCAGGAAATCCAAACTACTTTTTTCTTCATGTATTTTTAACTCAGTATCTCAAATACCTGGATATCTCAAAGTTTTTCTTGGTCCCCTGGAGTTTGAAATAACGAGGTTTGACTGAGATGACAAGTTTTAACACTATATACAAAGATTTTTCCTAGTAAGTTATATAACTGTGGGTATTTTGAGTGAAAATAACAAGGATTAAACTGGATTTTTTAAATGATTTTTTGATTTTCAAAGAACATATTATTGCATCAATTTAAGTTAAGGACATCTTGAATTTGTTGGATTTTTTCCCCATGTATTTCTTTTCCACATGAGATCAGCTACTTAGTCTCTTCTCTTTTCTTGTTTGGAGGAGGGGATAGAATTAATGAGAATCATAAAATACAATTCATTATGTCATTGTTTCAGTGGTGCATCACATAGCTGGGAGGCAAATTCTCTACTTATCATGCATTTCCCTGATGAAGGACACATTTTTCAATGGGAAACATGCTGAAAACTTCATCATGATATAAAAGAAAAGCTGACTTAGAAATGATTTCCCTAGAGACATAATACCAAACATTTTATTACTCTAAATTAACAAGTGTTTCTTTTTTAATATAAATGACTATAAAGACATCAAATAAATTTTTACACAAGTAGACACTCATTTAAATAATCTTGTTTACTTTAACAGAGTTATGCTACATTGGTGGAATTTTCACATCTTCTCTCTTTATTCCTTTAAATACCATTTAGCCTCTAAAAGAATCTTAAAAAATCCAACCTATTTTTCTGAGAAATCTACAACTCCCACCTACCCCCCCCCCCCCCCCCTTTTCCCCTGACTCACTTAATTGACCTTCAACAGTGGCATAGGTCCAACAATTTTACTGAGTTAAAATTTATGTTACAAATAGCTTTAAAGATTTCATATTCAATGGATTTTTTAAATCAAATTTCTGTTTACCCTTTCTATTACTTTTTTTTTGGGGGGGGGGGGGGGGGGAAGAAAACTGTTGTTTAATATTGTGACCCTGCATCACAGTGGCCAATTAGTAAGTTTACAAAGGCAAATACAGTTATTAAACTGTTACATAATGCATATTCAACACCTCTCTTATTTTATGTCACTAGCCCCTGGTAACATCTCTCTGTGTCTCGTGTTAACATATGTCATTACTAGTTATTGATTTCTGTAATGAATTAGTCCTCTTGTTATCACAGTAATTTAACCACTGCTTTTGAGGGAGACAGTGGGAGTGAGCTCTTGATAAATTCTATAATTAATTTTTATCTGAACAGGTCAGCATATGGTAACAGGAAGCAAACATTTTATATCAATATTTTAAGACATTTGTTACATTAAAGCAGAGAGACATCAAAAGTATTACTATGTGTATACTTACATTCAAGGATCTTCTGTCGACTTCCTGCTTCAAATTATCTGAGCTTCAAGAAAATAAAAGTAATTAAAGAACAAATTAAATAAATACTTCGTAGCACAAAAAATCAGATGAATGTCTCCCGTGTTGCCTCAAATTTTCCTAATTATCCTTGTATAGTTAAGGTATGCATGAATTACCAACATTGACAGGGGAGAGAGAAGTGTTACATGTTTGCTCGGCAGGTAATGATGCCGTCTGATGACATCAAACGTTCGGTTTTATGTCCAACCAACACTTAAAACGCAACTAAAGACTGCCTCAAAAACACAACTGGTCAATACACAAACAAAAATCTCCTTTTTGTCGACTTCTCCCTTTTATCTCTAACTGCTACCAAAAATAAAAGAAAATGCCTGACATCGAATTTTACAGCATACTGCACATTTACAATTCATTCAATGCATGACGCTCTGGTATGTACGAGACCAATGGACCCTGACGTGACCTCTATGACCACACTAGGTTAATAAGACTATACCTGCAAACCTGTAGTTGTATTTTCTGACAAGTTCAAACACACAGAGATATAATCTTAGTATTCCATTATTCTTGGTATTTGTAGTTTTCAAAACACAGGTGTATTTAAATAAATACAAACACAATAAGGTATTAGGAAATTTAAATCAAAAAGTTCACTAAGCTTTTCCTTGCAATGAATTTTGAAAATAAGATTAATGTCCTATTTTCCAATGTTTTTTTTTCTATCACACAATTCTGTACCACAAACCCCTCTCCCCTCCTCTCACATTAAAATTTCCAAACCAAACATCAGTCATTAAACTATGCATGCTGCTCAATCATTACAAAGTTTCAAAAATATTTCAAAATTAACATAATTCTAATCAATTAATTTGTCAAAAAACAGGAATGTCATATGTCTTCAATAAAAGGGAAAAAACTTGGAAAAACAGGAAAGTAAATCAACACTTTCCAGTGCATGGCCAAGATACATGTACATGTAACTTGAAGTTGTATTAAAGTAGCCTCCTCCTCTTACAGGTAAATATATATAGCAATTTGATAAATATTTCAGATTGAATTTAAGAAGCATTGCACAATTGACAGGAAAATTATTACATGTTCACGAAACCAAACTATGTGTCGACAAGGAAAGTGAAGCCCAATTAACAAGTGCTGGAAAGAGTTACCTGTCACTTATAGCAAGTGAAACATACCGGGACAGGTAAAGTTATCATCGCAGATAAATCTTGAACATAGTGTCATAGAATATACAATAACAACTGTTATCGCTTGGAATGCCGCAATACTGGTATGGGGCTACAATCTTGTATATTGATAGGAAGGTCACATGTCAATTCACAAAGGTTATCTGCCTGAAATGAACACTTTTTAACTAAATTTTTCTATTTCCTTTTTTGGGGATCTAGCTTTGATCTTGCCAAAAGCGGGGAAAATTGCTTTTATTTGTGACTTGCACATTTTTGTGGGCTGTTTGAGTGATTGACAAAGGAACTGCTGTGTAAAACTTTGTGATCCCTCTTAGCACCACTTCAAAGACTATCTATGCCTAAACTTATTAATTACACATTAAATACTAATCAGCTAAAGAAAATAAAGAAAATATACTTCTTCAAAGGAAGCCTAGGGGGTATCTGTAGCATTGCTTTGTTACATAGGACTTTAAAATAGGACCAGTGCTCTATATACAACATGTATACAATTATTAAACTAATGATAGACCAAAACTTGAGACAATACACATAGGACTCCTCCTTGCTGTGTATGAATGTCTTCTCTTACAATCAAACTTGGCAGAATTGCTGTCTGGTTTTCAGATTATGAATTATTATGAAATATGCCATTGTCCTCAGTAAAAAAAGACAGCCATTATACCATTGAATTTCAAAAACCAAGAATCGATTCAGCCAACGCCTACCAAATTACTGAAGAATCAAATGCTCATCACATGTCAACCTTTACAAACACAAATTTTTGATGTTTCGACAAAAATGTATACCCCCTGGACAGCTTTGGATACTAGGAATATACCAGATACAAATAAGTCAAATTTACCTTTGATCTGGACAATAAAGCTAGTCATTTTTAATTTAAAAGATGAAGTGTAGTAAACATACAAATGAGAGTTCGAGTTTACTGATTTTTTTTTACATGCACAATAGCACACCTGTCCATATCTTTAATAATTTATACCAAACAATCCCAGTGCACTTAGAATAACTAGCCCAGATACAGTGTGAAAAATGCATTGATGTTTTTTTTTTTGTCTGTTCATTTTCAATATCATACCAGTTTTTTCTTTTCCCAAAGTCACAATCTTTGAATTCTAACAAATTTATTTTTGGATATGGAGGGGTGGGGTGGGAGATAGTGAAATCAATAAGACAACAAAGGTGATTTTCCCCTCTTAATCCTAAGTTCTAACTCTTAAATGAACTTGCTTTAAAATCTGATGGACAATTTCCAAATTTGTGAACCACTGAAGGTTTCCATTATGATCTATCTATTGTAATAAATGTAAATACTCTAAGTAAGAGTACTTCACAAGAGCACTGATAGTCTGCAGGCAGTTTTTACACATAGTAGTACAATAATGCATTCAAGAAAGCATCATCTTAGCTTGAATATTAATACTTGAACCCCCCCCCCTTCTCCTTTCCCCATTCCTCCAGCTTTCATAAGACAAAGCATTCCAAAATCTATGTTTGTTTATAAGGCTATGAATCTTTCTGCACCTAGTGTACTGTAAAATAAAAATCACCTATTTTTCCTACGGTCAAATTTTCATTGTTTTGGATTTGATTTCGTGGTTAAGAGAAAAATTGTACTGCAGTATGAAATTGTGAACATTTTGTGTGTATGTATGGGGCGGGGTATAAATTTGTGGGTCTCTTCATATGATGAAAACAATGAAAATTAAACTCCCACAAAAATATCGAGTGATTTCACAGTATCTAGAAATGAATTCTTAGTGAATTAATTAACATATACCTCTCATTTTCCTTTATGCCTATGATTGCAATATCTTAACATTTCTCAATTGAGATGTCTTTTTTCTTTACTCAAATGAAAAAAATAATGAATCCCCCCTTAAGATCTCTTTTAATCGACTAAGGTCCTTTTTTGGTAACTTGTTACTAGCGACAAAGTCTGCTTAGGTACACCATATATGGCCATCTGTACTATACAGGTTTGACCCCCTCTTTTGGTTTATCATTTAACAAAAAAATCAGGTAAATCTTTGAATCAGATATTAAACGTAAACTCATTACATACCTTCAAATATTGATTTTCTGGCGTCTCGGACAACTGCAAAACCACAAAGGGTCAAGTCAGAATATTGGCATAAAAGATTATATAATCCTGATGTTAAATACCTTGAGAAAGAGATTATTCCTTCTATCCTCACCAAAATATGGATTAATATATTCCAACTTTACTAGCAATCCAAAAGTGTGCACCAAGTGAGTCACAGACAGAGTTATTTGAAATGCCTAAATGCAGAAGAAATATTTAAAGGTAAAGGATTACCTGGTCGACCTTAAAACACATAATGGTTTATTTCTTCATGACAAACAGGATAGACTACTGTAACTCATAATAATATCATCAATATACCTGGCTGGGGCTCCATATGGGGAATTCATAGATTGCACCTTACAAAAATCAATTGACACAAAATATCTTTCCTGTGATCTACATTAATCAAATATGCCTGACAACTTCTTCTTTCACCTTAATTGTAGTGTTAATCTTTTTTTTTCAATATCATTTCACACCCAAATTATTATGTAAAGGGGAAAATTGTGTACAATTATGACCCCTTATGAAGTAAATGGTGTCAGACTAAGCAAAATTGCACAAAATTTAAAATTTTTTTGGGGGGGTGGGTGGGGGGGGGGGGAGGGGACTTGGTTTTATAGGCAGGGACTAAGACAAGTAAACAAAAATCAATTAAAGGCTAAAAAAAAAAAAAAAACGAAAAAAATCACTATTACATTATAAACATGTCTCATCAAAATTGTTAAACATAAAACATCATGTGAAAAGTTCACAGACCTTTTGAACACATTTTAACTCTGTACATAATTATTTTTTCTAGTACTGAACATCATTTCATTTTTGCGATATAGCAATTAACTCTTCATTAGTGAGACAAAATTTTCACAAATTGTGGTTACTGCTCTATATAATCTTAAGGAATACTAATATACGCGAGAATGATATTTTCGCAAGCACACAGTCTCAAGTAATTATGAGAAAATAAAGTTCTCGCTAATAAAAAGTGATTTACAGTATTTCAGCTGAGCTACAAATTATCTCAAACACTGGTACCAATATTTTGAATACCTAGGAAATAGTGAGTTTGCTGCCTAGACTTATATACTTGAAGCATTCAAACTTTTGAACAATTGGTCAGGAAATCTTTGGTGCAAACATGAATTAGTGCTCTAAGGATTCTTTTGTCAGTGACTTAAAATAAAATCATAGTGGAATGTATATTTATGACTGTGTACAAAAGATTGAAGAAGGCCTAGAGAGTCAAAATCTGCTAAAATATATACACATGTAATATTATTGACTTGAATCTTCACACCTCAACATTTCAAACCTCCAGATATATGGTTTAATTATTGAGTTTAATATGAAAGTCTCTCCAAGTTTGAGAAGCCAAAGTTTCACTAACATTACAAAATATAATGTAATATAAAGTAAATAAACTTAGAAAAACTTTTTTTTTAACAGAAGTTGAAAATTACTTTTGTTTTTAAGGAAAAATTAATGAGAAAGAAAAGGTAAAAAGAATGTGCCTTCTGACATGACAAAGATATGTATGATATTTCCTGCTGGGGCTATATACAGGTATAGACACTTGTCACTGACAGTAAATATGTCCTACCTCTTGTGAACTTTAGGCAAAGGGATCTTGTCCATGTTTCTATGGTTCATACCAGAAATTCATCAACCAATTAACACCTCAACGAATGCAGAAATTCATCAACCAATTAATACCTCAATGAATGCAGATGCATATAATTAACTGGGTTTCTAATGCAATATGGTTAAGCAAAGTATTATTATTACTTCTTCAAAATTTTGCTATTTTTCAGGTAAAAGATTTTATGATAAAATCCCTAATATACTAAAAAGCATCTCTGTATTTTCTGTATCATACTGTTTCTCTTTTAATATCAATTCAAAATTACTAAAGGCACTTCAAAATTAAATTTTAAATGATGTAGTCTACAAACAATCATGACACTAGAGAATTACTAAGGGAATTTTACCCCGTTTACCAGTTCTCTTCCAATGTTGCAGTCTTGGTTGCAAACATCCATTTAGTAACATTATTAAATTTTAAAACTTAAATAAATCTTACTTCATCAGAATAAAAGTCTACATTTCCTTTATTTGCTTATAGTATGATATTTAGAAAAGCATTTTTCTTTAAAAAAAATAAAATGACATGCAAATAGATTGTAGTGTCTGATGGTATATATAATATGTTGACAGTTCAGCTGGAGTCGGCTACCTGTTGCCCTCTCAACTTGACCTTTGGGTATATACTTTGCCAGCATGTTAATTAAGTTCACCAAGCAGAAAATAATTTGACAATTTTGAAACAGAAACTATATATATCTCCCAATTGGCACTGTCACAGATAAAAACCATACATCTTCTACAACGCTAACATGAAAATTCCATGTCTGTTTCAATTTCAGTTGGTTTCAGGTGACTTCATGATAGCGTTCATGACAACACATCTTATGACCATCTTTTATGTGTAAGAAGTGTTATAATTTTTCCTCACATTTTCAGATGAATGACTTTGTTTAAGACAAGAAATGGGAGACTGTTGATCTATAAAGAAATCTATACTGCTTCATTAAACAAAGCTCTAATAGGAGAGCTAATAATAGGCTGCCTCTTGCTGCCCTGATCACAATTGGTAAATATTCTGCCAATTTTTTTTTTTAAATTTGATAAAAAATAACTCCTTATAAGTTCAACAACCCTTGGGAAAGTTAAATATCACCATAAAATGTAGGTGTTATGATGAACAGCTTAATTCAAATTTAACAGCTGCAACCATTTTATTCCTAAATTTTCATGACACCGAAAAAGACCTGACAACTGAAGTTTATTGCCATACCAGTGTAAGATGACCATTCACTCAATTTAAAACCACAACACAATATCACAACTCAAGATCTAATACATTACTTTTACATTAAGCATACGCCTGAATTGATATTAAAATATCTATAAAAAGACAGAATTTGTTTAATCTAGACACAACATGCTTTCAAACATGCCTTTCTGCTGAATGGCCTTGCCTTGCGGCAGCGTAAACATACCTTTCAAATGGCCAGGTATTAACTCTGTCTTAATGGTGGACAGACAGTTTACTGTATCAACTACCCTACAAAAATTCTTTACAATGTTGAGAGCTGCATTTTTTTACACCTAAAACCATTACCCCATTTTTCAAAGTACACCTGATTATTCCATTTACATAAGGTGGGAAGAAATCGGTAAACCTTCATTTAACTTGCAGTTGTCAACACCATTTTATCAGTAGGATTTCCTCTGACAGGTACAAGAACTTTTTCTAAATAAAATCCAAAGCTGACAAAACAGTAGGGTTATAACAGGGGATCCCCAGTGTTCACCATAATGAGTCAGTACTGTCAATGTACTCATTACAGTTCTCCATAACGAGTCAATACTGTGAATGTACCCATTATTTTAAGACATGAAATACCTACTGAACTTGCTATAAATTTCACAGGGACAGTAGAACTTCAGTCAAACCTTGTGATCTCGAACTTGATGGGACTGAGAAAAAACTTTGGGATATCCAAGGATTCGAGATATCAGGGGTAAAACATTTAAAGAATAAATGGTTTGGACTTCCGAATCACTTCGACATATTCATGGTAATCAAGATATCAGTGGTCAAAATACTGAAGTTCAGCTGTAAATCGTCACACCTGATACCCATTGCTGACAACTAGACTCCCAATTAATACAGGATTCTCCAATTATCTTTGGAGAATGCATTAGGAAATAAGCACTGATCAAGATCTAGATCTTAATCATTCCCCAAATTATCAAACATCTATCCATAGAGGATGATTCAGGAGACACCAGAATCTGTAACATCTGGAGATGCCTGCTTGTGTCACCAGTATCCAACAAAATCTGCCATTATAAGCCTTGTTGGAAGAATCACACAGGAATCGTTTGATTCAGGATAGCACCAGAGCTTGTAACACCTATTTGAGCAGATTCCTGCCTGTGTCACCAGTATCTAACAAAATCTAGCATAGCCATGTTGCTACTTCTCTCCTGGACATTTTCCAAAGTGGCAGCATATTACAAAACCATTCGAGATAAAAACATACAAAATGCACATTGACTTTCTGCAAAATCTTCCTTCTAAGTATTTTACATGAGAATGACATATAAACTCATCTTAATTGATAACTTAATGTCTATGACTGTAGATATTAGTGAATAAAAATTTAATCTCATAGTGTATTGGTTCTGTTCAATGGAAAAAACATATCAAATTGTTACCTTAATCTCAATCCTTTATACAAACACATTTTCTTAAATCTATATGCCCTTGTAAGTCACTATTAAACAAGTTTATTGTCTGTGTGTTTGTCTGTGTTCTACTTACTCTGCAATAGCTCGCTGGGATAAATCCTCCAAGTCTCCGATGTCAAACAGCTGATTACTGCCAAGTCCAAGGGTGTCCCGGCAAGATTTTAAAAACACATTAATGTTATCCTGAAAGACATATAAAGCAATCAGTAACTTCAAACATTGCAACACAAACGAAATCTTTGGAATGCGGCATTTAAACATTCAAGTGACAACGCTTAATGCATTTTAAAGAATATTAGAAGATAAATGAACTAACAATTATGTGTAGAATACACAAGAAAATCCGTCAAAAATTATTTGATAATTAAGCGATATCCTTTCAAACAAATTTTTTGACTCTGTCACAAAAATTTCATACACTCAGAAATGTGAAAAGAATATGGCGACCCTTGCTTGCATAAAGTTAAATATTTAAACATTCTTGAAGTAAAACAACCAATCAAGCCGTTGTGCAAACATCCTTTGGCAGAGAGAGCCGTATCATTGAAGACTTGGCCAAAAGAACAGGTCCTTTTGGATCCTTAAGGTTGGCAGGAATTATGCAAACAAAGATACACATATAAATCACCTAATTTGATAAGACCTCAAAGCCACAAGACTCAGCAGTGAAGCTCTATAGTTGATGAGATGGGGAGAATATTTACTTGAATTTCAATGAATAAATCAAAAAGACCCCAAATATAATCATCTAGAATTTACATAAAGGATAGTCACAATGGAGAAAATGCAGCTATTGTGCACACCAGGTAAAAAGGGGAGAAAACCTCATGTCTTGCAAAGCAATAAAATGTAATGCATCAGTGGAAATTTCAATAAAAATAATCAAATGGGTTTTGGGTGTTAAATCATTAAAATTCTTTTCACAACAAGGCACCAACAGGGACTGCAGAGAAGCCTGCTTTAATAATGTAATTTTTTAAACATTATAAGCCTGTGATCTGAGAGAATAAATTGATTCAGAACTTGATTGTCTAAATTTATAGGCATTTTTCTGATGCTATATAAGCTTGTACATAATTAAGGACATGAATTAAAAGTTGTAGTAATTAACACTAGCAGATTTAAGGGGGGGGGGGCACATTGGCCCCTCCCCAATGAAAATTTGAAATTTAAGATAAATGAATTTAAATCATTGTTCCTAATTCTTTGTAAAGAAATGTATTATTGGATAAAGGGATATGTAAATATAAGGCTTGATTTTAATTCTGTAAGGCAGGAGCTTCAGGGAGCTTGACTTCTAGGCTTTGACTTCACAGATCTAAAATATTTGTAATTTTATTCTCATTATTAATCATGATGACCAGAAATAGTGTCCACTAGGAAAACTTCATTTTTGCCCTACAAAATCTCTTAAATCCAGGAGCTTCAGAGGGCTTTCATCCCTGGGCCCCCACCATGCCTCAATTCTTCCTCAAGGCAGCACCTAGACCCCCTGCCAAAACATTTGGTGCCTGCCTTAACTTTAATCTTGGATCCACCCCTGGCTCTTTTAGTTAAAATTTTTTTGCAAATTTTATCTAAAGTTCAACTGCTAAATCAAGAAGCAAATAACAAAAAAAATTGGATAAATCCAATTTCCTCTTCCACATGCAGATCTGAACTAAATATATTTTTTATGGAAAATATTTCACCAGTAACTATATATACATTTGCTTTACATAGTAGTTCACAACCCCTACAAACAATAAACTCTTGATATAAGAGACGAACTGTAGACTAAACACATCAGGACATGAAACCCAGGTTTCTCCCCTCGGGATACATGCCTACACAACCATTTATGATAGACTGGTGCTGATAAACCAAGGAAATGGACACGGGTCTAAGTAATCGCACCATCAAAGCATTACTCTGTTGCCTGAACTGTACGCGGTTACTTAGTCAGAATTTCATCACAGCAAGAAGGCGGCTGTTGGTCAATATTTGCATTTGTTGGAAACATTACCCTATTGTCGGCAGACAAAACTCTGCTGATAATACAACAAATTTATCTCGGTTTCCACTTATAAGGTCCATGTGTATTGTTCCGATTTTCATTCAGTATTACAATTAGACCAGGAAATGTTTACTCAATGTGGCTTATTATATTTTCAATTAAAAATCTTAAAACATCAGCAAAATCATGCAGTCATTTTTCTGTGCAGACCACCATTGATGACCCACAATATCTTTTACCTCATTTCATGCTGATAAGAACAATTTTTGAAACACAACCTATGCTCTAAAGGCTGCAGATTCTTATCTGAACTCCAAATGTGGCATGATATGAAGGCATTACCTTAATTTGAAGTTTCTGTCTTATATACAGGGGTTAATGTTGAATGTAATAAGAGGTTGGATGGTGTTAGATTATATTTACCATAAAAATAAAAACACCACCCCCACTCCATTTTAAATGATCATGGTAGGTTAATGGTTAGAGTGCTTGCTTGGTGACCCAGAGTCCTGGGTTTGATTCTTGATCCCAGTGCATAGCAAACCTAAGATGATTAACTCAAGAAAAGACTGTTCCTTTGCCACACATCTGGCATTAAAAATGAAAGTCAGGTCTTTTGGATATACAGTAAAACTCGGTTATAACGAAGTCATTGGGACCTGTGAAATTACTTCGTTATACATGTATCCGTAATTCGTTATATCCATATAAGGAATTCGTAAAATTTATATAGCTGGGGATCCAAGAAAACTTTGCTATATCCATGAATTCGCTATATCCGTGTTCGCACTAAACGAGTTTTACTGTAATCTTAACAAAAGGTCCATGGACCACACTGCTTACCTGAGCACTATGACTAGAAAAAAGCAGAAATCAAGTTGAACTTAGTATTCAATAGAATATATAAGTTTTCCCTGGGGGGGGGGGGGGGGGGGGGGAGGGGAAGGAAGATGGGTTATGATTTGAACAAACTTGAATTAACACTACCTGAGGATCCTTCCATAAAAATGTCTAATCATGGCTTTGCTGCTCTTGAGAAGAAGTTTTTTTGAAGATTTTCCTATGAATTTCTTTGTAAAAGTTTGATTGCTCACTGTGGCCCCATCCAACCCCTGGGGGTCATGAATTTCTTTGTAAAAGTTTGATTGCTCACTGTGGCCCCATCCAACCCCTGGGGGTCATGAATTTCTTTGTAAAAGTTTGATTGCTCACTGTGGCCTCATCCAACCCCTGGGGGTCATGAATTTCTTTGTAAAAGTTTGATTGCTCACTGTGGCCCCATCCAACCCCTGGGGGTCATGATTTGAACAAACTTGATTCTACACTACCTGAGGATGCTTCCATATATGTATGACTAATCATAGCTTTGCTGTTCTTGAGAAGATTTTTAAAGATTTTTCCTATGTAATCTTTTTTAAAATTTTGATCGGCCATGTTGGCCCCACCTTACCCCTGAGAGTCACGATTTGAACAAACCTGAATCTATACTACCTGAGGATACTTCCACACAAGTTTCATATTTTCTTGCCCAGTGATTCTTCAGAAGATTTTTAAAGGGTGCCAGTAATTTTTCACTAATTTGTAACTATCTCCCCTTGGAAGAAGGTGTGGCCCTTCATATGAACAAACTTAAACACAAGAATACTTTGTGGCAAATTTGCTTGAAATTGACATACTGGTTCTTGAAAAGAAGTCAAAAATGTGAAAAGTTTACAAACAGATGGACAGACAGACGAAGTTAGTCGGACAGACAGACACTGGACAAAATGGGACCAGAAAAGCTGACTTGAGCCTTTGTCTCAGGTAAGCTAAAAATGTAAGTCCCATGTCCCAAAACTTGTGAAGGCACAGTAAAGAACTATCACTGCTTATGCTGTAAGCACCATGCATAGTTCAGAATTTCTGGTACTTCAAGTAAAGCTGGTGATGAAGTATGGGCTAGTGTTTTTACAACAATTAGACCCAGCTAAGGAAAGTTGATCAGAATTGACAGACCAATTAAAATTTATCATCCTATTACCTCCTAAAAAATGCATTTTGAAAAAAGACCGTCTAGATCTGGAATATTAATGCAGAATTTCAGATAAATGAGACAAAACAATGTTAAAAAATGCCATTCCCAAGAAAAATAGTCCGTAAGCTGAAGCATTCTAACATCTGGTGTCTGGATATCTGAAGGTCAACTGTAAATGAATATTTGCTGGAATTTAAAGTTCTATCAGAAAATTAGGCTTCTTCTTGATTTTTGTTATGCCTCTTTGTGTTTTAAATCCTAATAAGATCCATAACTCTTATACTTGTTATCCAATGAAAAGCAAACAAGGACTGCCAATTTAAGCTCTTGTATCTAGATCACAGCAGCTCTTATAATCAAGTTAATATGTGTATTTATATGCATGAATTAGCTTTTATTTCCATTAATTTTAATATTTATTTCGTAGACATTTTATTACCCTGTCAGCATATAGTCATGAGTATATAATTAACAGTGTATACACACAAAGGCACGGTTATAAAATCTACATGTAATTCCAGCACACGATCCTGTTAACTCTGGTATTAGCCATTAGTAAGTAAATATCCTCAGCGTGTGCTGAGACTCACAGAATATATATATATATTACAAAAGCAAAGAAAGACAACTACGACACTCACCAAGCCAGCAATAGGACCAGGCAGTTTGTTGATTCGCTTCACAGATCCTGGTTTCAGATTGTTTAGAAGCCTGTAAAAAATGTTGGCAAAGAATAGATAGTGAAGTTCAGTTAGTTTAATTGTAATCCAAATTCAGTCAACAACTGCATAATAAATACACTAGTCCTATGTAATGATGGGTCTCCGCTAGTGCAATGTGTACTATGTTTCCAAAAAAAAAATTGTCTTTACTATGGAACCCCAAATTATTAATGATGTACGCACATCATATGTTCAACATTAAATTATTGTAAATTTAAATCAATAATTTTCTTGGGGTTTTAATTTTCATTGTTTTTGAGGTGTAAAGAGACCCACGAATTCATGTCCACCACAAAATGTAAAATTTCATATACATATCTATAAACATTTCCCAATCAATAAATCAAATCCCTGAACCAATATTTTTTCTTCAAACCTCAAAAAATTTACCCCATGAAAATATGTGATTTCACAGTAGTGTTAGGAGGCTGGCCTGGGTGGTCAACTTATTACCCAACAGATCCACCTAAAATATGAAATATGATTCTTCTAGCCATAAACTATTATTTTGTAATGAAAAGAATACAGATGTTTTAGCTATGATATTCAATGCAATTTCCTTTATCTTTATACAGAGCTCATCAATTCTAGGAGGGATAAATAGTCTAAACATGGCTTGACCACCCAACCCTCCTAATGGGAGACAAAAAACATTTTATTGGTAAGAATGATGGAGACTTGGCCAAAGTAAGTGATCAAGGATGTATTATACAAAAAATGTTTTCTGACTTTGACCTTTGACCTAGAACTTGTTTCAAGGACACTGCACAACTTTTACCCCATGGACACTCTATGGGTGAGTTACCAAACAGATTTGTTAAAAGGGTGAGCAGATATACTGGACAAGTGTAATCTACAGTGGACACAAACTGATCACTGTAGGGTACTCACTGGATGTTTGTAAATCAACTGGAAAATTTTAACTTCCTTTTTTTTCACTAAAATTATGTTTACCCTATAATCTTGTTTTGGTCCACTCAGAACTTATGTCTCTCTCTAGGTAAGTCATGATTATATAATCCAAAGAAAAATATTCTTTACCTTCCAGTGACCCTAATCTTATATCAAAAAAATGTCCTGCAATCCCCTCTGATTAACTCTCTTACAACTTTCTTTCAGGATGATAATAAAGCTAACTTTTTCATGATTTTTGCTCAAGTTTTCAAAATGAATGCATATACAACTGCACTTACACCCCCCCCCCCCTCCCCCAGCATCTACTCTGCTACACAAATGATAGAGAAATAGCTAAAAAATGTATTTCCTCTGCATACCTATCTGGGAAGTTTTCTCATTCAAAAGATCTTTTTTATCTTTCGAATGCGCCTTTATGAACTTACTCGCACAGAAGTACACCATTTTCAAGAGACTTTCTGAAGTCATCAGGATGCGAGAACTTTTTCCTGGTCACAGCCTATAAGTAGAAAACAAGAAGACTGTTAACAATGTGCTTAAAGAAATGATCACACTGAAAACCAGGGAAAGAACTGTATCATGCAAACACACACAATGCATTGAAGAAAGAAGAGGCTCATGGGCCACAATGCTCACCTGAGTAACTTTAGCCAAGGAGTTTTTCAGATGATTTTTAAAAAGATTTTTATATTCCCATTACTATTGTGACCCCATATTATAGCCCCATTCTAACTCTGAGGGTCTCTGAATCCACACATTTGGATGCTTCAATATCTTTATGACTAATATGGCCTTGCAGTAATGGAAAAGAAAATTCTTTTCCTAATTTCATACATGCATTATGTAAAATGCAATCCTCAATTATATTTGCTAACTCTAACCAAAGGTGCATAATTTAAAGAAAAAAATAATCCATACAACTTGGGAATGTTTTTAAATGAAATTAAATCATCTTTTCTGCTCCAGTGGTTCCTCAGACTTTATCCTATATATTTCAATGTAAATGCATACATGTTAACCTACATGATGAAAAAGAGGAAGATTTAGACCTCAAAAGAGCATTACATGTAGTGTTTATGTCTGGATTTTCAGAAGATATGGCCTCATATGACCACTGCACTTCAATAATTAAAATCAAATATCAATTGCAATGAAGTAGACAAAAACACTCTTTATACAAATTCTGCAATTAATTAAATATTTTTCATGCTCATTACAATACAGTAAAACTCAGTTAAAACGAAGTTCTGGGGACCTGCGAATTTACTTCGCTATATCCATAATTTGTTATATCTGTATAATAAGTTCCTTAAAGAATACTTCATTAATTTGCAGAATAAGATTTTTTCATTCAAGTATGACTACCCAATACATTTAGGGAAGTATTAAATACAAAATTTACCTTGGAGTTCAAAAGTTTTCAGATGAATTGTGCTTCAGATTTAAATATTTATGAAATTAATGCCGGTTTAATGTTTTAAAAATTCATATCTTTGAAAATTTGCTATAAAAGGTGTAAATTTCATTATTTTTAACTTCTAGGGTGCACAAAATCAGTTCACTATAACCGTCAATTTGCTATATCTGAGTTTGTTATATCTGTAAAATTTTTACAAGGACCACTAATGCACCCTTCTACTTTTAAAATGTCCCCTTCCATTTCAATTCTTATGGACAGCCCTGTTCAAGTATGACTTCCAAATGTATTTAGGGAGGTATATATTATAAAATACAAATTTACCTTGGAGCTCAAAAGTTTTTGAATGAAATGAGTTTCAAATATAAATGCTTTAAAAAAATTACATCAGTTCAATATTTTAAAAATTTAGATCTTAGAAAATTTGCTATATTTAAAGATGTAATTTTTGTTTTATTTTTAATTCACTAAATCCGAGTTCATACCAATTAAAACAAGTTTACTGTAGATTTTTGTTGAAATATAGCCTGAGAGTAATAATTTAATTGTCAACATTCATTTAGTTGCATATTAGAGCAAAAGATGTCATTATACAATTCAGATCTAAATCTAGTTGTATTTCTTTATAAAAGATTCGGATCTCCTATGATGACAGAAAGCGAAATTAGAGATGCAAAAAAGTATTAAATGAATGCTGATTCCCCTTTTTACTTTTATGCATGAAGTCAGAGGTATTCATCCAGTTTCTAGAATACTATCTCTTCCATTTTCTTGGCAGGGATGCTGACAAAATAAATTGTAAAGAATGTAATCATGAAGGTGTGTGCACCTTTGTGCTTGAAATCCGTGTAAACATCAGTGCAAAAAAGCGATGTATGCTCCCAGTACAAATTATGCTATGTCTTGAAAACCATCGAGATTTTATGATCAAGTGGTTTTGAAAATGGCTACCCATGCAAACCAAAAATGGATTTTGTAGAAAAGTGGTAAATTTTTTAATAAAAGTGGTGGTGGGGGGGGGGGGGGGGGGAGGGGTAAATAAGATTGATGTCCAGGAGATTGAAGGTGAGAAAGGTGAGATTTATTAAGTTCGCTAAGGAGAACAGACCATAGTCACCGTACTATTAATTTTAAGTAATAAATGTACATAATTTTTTTTCAAAGAATCTACATCATTTTGGCACATGACTTCACAAAACTTCATAGTATTTGGGTTAGAACAAAAGTTTTGGTTCAAAAAATCTTTCCTCAATTGGTTTGAAGCACTACATTCTAAAAGATAGTGATATTCATCTCCTATCTGATTACTATTGCATAAGCTACAAAATCATTCGTTACTGTGAATACCATAACATCTACCTGTTTCAGTTGGAAGGTGGTGGTTTGTGGTTTTAAGTTGTTTTTTTTTCTAAATTTACATGATAACAGTGTTAAATATTTTTTGCACTCAAAATTGGTTTTAAAAATTCTATAATTTAAATTTTTGAAGATTCTTGAACTTCATTATCCCGCTTTTGAATGTCAGGGTTAGAAACTCCCTAAAATTACAACTCGCAAATAATTGCGAGTACCATGAAAGTGAACTCGCAATTTTATACGACTACTCGCAATTTTCATATAAAGTTAAATTTATATAAATTAAATACATGTAACTTAAGGAAAAAGTAACTACTGTACAATACACAAAATATAACTACAGTGTGACTTTTATTTAAATTACTGATTTAAATCAAAAGCATTGTGTTCTGCCATATTATATAATTTTGCTACAGTTTCAATGCAGAAAAAATCAACTCGCAAGTTTTTGCGAGTTACCTAATTTTTAACTCACAATTTGGGAATTCTTACTCGTGTTTTGCGAGTTGTATATAGTGAATTTCGAACCCTGAATGTATTGATTTTTTGATCTTTGACTGTAGCAGTTATCCATTTTCCAGAATTGTGAGTTTCGTGGCCCCTGGGTCAGATGTTTTGGTGTAAGGGGGGGGGGGGCTCTATTGATAATATAGTGAAAAAGCATTAATTCTATTAAACAATCCTGTCTGCTCCTTAGTACTGAGCAGATAAACAAAGTGCATAGTTATGATGAGCAAGGGTGCTTCTAACAATTTTTTTTAAAATTTGTGGTCCCAGGGTGAGAGCTTCTGGTGTTTCTCGGGAGAGGGGGGCTCTATTGATAATATAGTGAAGATGTGTTAATACTTTGAAAATCTTCAACTAAGTGCATAGTAATGAATGATGATGAGGGTACCTCTTCCAAAATAGTGAAATTCATGACTCTGAGTTATGGGTTCTGGTGTTAGGGTTGGACTGTGTTGAATCTGTAGTGAAAATGCATTATTTCTTTTAAAATCTTCTTTGCTCCTGGGCATAACGGAGGCAAACAGAGTAAATGTTTTAATAAGCAAGGGTAGTTTTTATTTTTACCAGATTTTTAATATCTGGACCATTTGGTCAAGTGTTCTGGTCCTGGCCAAGGCTCTATTTATTTTTATTCTACTGAGAGAAGTTATTCCCCTTTGCTAATGTGAGAGGTTATAATATGGGGTTTAAAAAAGGTACTGAAGCACTGAATATTTTGTTAAGAGTTTGTATGGTAATAGTGAGAAATAAGGGAGATATTAGAACTTACTTTATGAGTTGTTACTGAATACTAGACTAATCATTTCATTGATCCTGATCATCCTATTTCTATTGCTTTTGGGCAACAAAGTTTATTTTATACTCTATGGATCCTCTAATTTTAGGGGTGGGACTATACAAAGGTCTTGCGATACGATACATATCTCAATACATATAACATGATACAATATGTATCTTGATATTATGAAAAATTAGAAAACTATAATAAGCTTAGTATTTTATTATAATATTTGTCTTCATGACAATAAATCGACAAATTATTTTATATCAGATCATATGTGCCATGAAATGAACACTTGAAGTTCATCAATTTCATTGAGTAAAATTTACAGAAACAATATTACATGTATGAATTGCCAAATGTCTATAAAGAAGTTGAGTTTTCAAATAATTTATTATGTAGTTCATCAATATCATTGACTACAAATCCTTTAAAAAAACATCACATGTACATAATTATTATTGCTGAAAGTCTATAACCAAGTTGAGTTTACAAAAAAATTAATCCACAATTTGTTTCAAAATTTCAAATTCTTTTTAAAGAAATTAGAAAATCCATGCTTTGTTCCGAGCTGTTAGTGCCAGATGGAAGCTAATAAAATATCCCCTGTTGTGGAAATGATAATTTCTGTATGTAACAATCTTTACATACTGAACTTTTCTTGTCCCATGTTCCGAGGATGCTAAAAAGTGAAAATGTTTTACCCCTTATCTATGACTTGTTAGTTCTAAAGCATGTTTTCAATATTAATATAATCTCTTCGCTTCGTACAAGCCGCCATCTTCAATGAAAACTACTTTTATTTTCAATTTTTGATAGGTTGTTTGTGTATCGTTTCCTACTGATATTTCAATGCATGTATCGTAACTGTAACTTAGCAGAAAATATCAGTATGTATCAGAGTACCAGTATATTGTCCCACCTCTACTAAATTGCTGTATTATACTCAGGTGACCATTAAGGCCCTTGAGCCTCTTTTTATCATAAAATATTGATGCTATTTTCATTGTGCACCTTAACTGTACTTCGCAAGGTATGTTGGGTATCTTAATTCACCTAGAAGTAACTGCCCCACTCCCATCTGTGGTCCCACTGTGTAAAATATTATCTAATAGTAGTACAGTCAAAACTTGTTATCTTGAATTCGATGGGAATAGAACAAACTTTGAGATATCAAGGGTCATAATTTTACCAAGGGTAAAATACTTAAAGAATAGGTGGTTGGGACTTCCAAATCACTTTGACATATATCCATGGTATTCAAGTTATCAGTGTTTGAGATACCGAAGTTCATCTGTATGTTACTTTTTTTAAAACCATAAAGCAGTCTTTCATTGGAGCTTAAAGACTGTATCTTAACTTAGAATTCCTTACGAACACTTCCAAGTAAGCTTTAGTAACACTATATTAATATATGTGACATCAACTTATCAATAATCTAGTACCCTAGCTGTCTACACTATCTGATATAATACAAATTATTTTCAACACAGTTTCTTATGTATGTCTGCACTATAAATCTTGAACTTCCAGGAAACCGTATGTTAATAGAATAAATTATAGCTACATGCAGTTTTAACATGTCTGTAGTATTTAATCTCTTATACATGTATACACATTCTTAAATCTTATCTGTTGGATTCCATAGAAACTGGTATTGAAATATCAATAGGATAGGGTTTACCACTGCAACATTTCAAATTAATTCGACATTTGACATTATATGGGTTTAATCTGTCCCTTCGGCTATATACCTACATATCAGCAGTTTACAACTGTGAAGATCAAAATTTACATGACAACGACCCTAAACTTTGTTATTATTCCACATAAACATACTAAATTCTCTGATTATTGGTGATTAACTTTGTTAAATTCTATCTATATTGATCATTAAGCTGGGAAGTAATAATAAGCCTCTTTTGCATTGATTACAGATATATAAGAACCTGGCCCGATCTTGTCTGTTCAGTCAGTTATTTTTGGAAGAAATTAGGTTGATGTACGTGAAAAAGAAATATATCTTAGGAAACCATCAATTTTTTTTTTTATCAAAAGCAACATTTCTTATTTTTGCTGAGTATTTTGTTACTTAAGGCTTCAGTGAAAAGGTAATATTGCAAAAAATGAATAATAGATAATCTTCTCAAATAATCTGATAGCCGGCAGCCTAAACATTTCAGTGGCCTTGACATTTCCTGTAGTCTAAAACCACCTTGGCTATTAATTAACTACATCTAATATCATTGGCATACTAATGTAATATGTAATTGGGGAACATGTAAACAACTTTATAGTTTATAACATGTATAAGCTTGTGAACCTCAACATGTTCCCATTCTAGTCAGTTTTGCACAGCCTCTATATTTGTGCATGTAAGAATTTAACAGTGATATAAATCCTGAAATTTCATTTAAAAAATAAAGTGAGTTGTTTTTCTGGGCATAAAAAAATCCTGTTATTATGTTTCTTTATATAGGCAGCACACATCTTTTTTTTTTTTATTTCAGACCACCAGGTGATATCCATTGGGCTGAGAAAACATTTAGGACTCAGCGATGTGTGTCCGGTATGAATGGTATGTCATGTCAACAGGTTTCACCACCATTCATACCTACAACCACCACATTGTATTAACGGCCTGCAACAAAATATCACTGTAGACTTGTTTCCAAAGTTATCTGATCAGGAGTCTGCAATCCAATACTTTGTCGTAAGGTTCATTTGTCAGATGGTTATACATGTATATCAAGGTCAAATGTGGAGGGCAGGGAAATTTAACTGGGATCAACTCCCAGTGTTATCAAATTAATTAAAACACTGACATGCTTTTCTGAATACATTAAATGCCACAAATAGTCACCTCCACTGAAAAGGCCTGTATTAACCTTTTTTTCGCTCTGTAAAGGCTGTTTCAGTGATAGTTATAAAGACACCCTACTGAAGATAGGTATAAGCAGATTTTAGATCGATATAAGAATTCAATTTACTTATTTAAAAGGGATACTTCAATAATCAAAAATGTTATTTTGGTGTACAAAAATGAAATATGAGGTCTATTTACATATGTTTTTCCTAAATAAAGACCCCTGACACTCCCTCCAATCAACATATGTTCACTAAATAATCAATCCTAGGGACTTTGTGCACTTTGTCCTTTCAATGAAATTATTGACAATTACAGACTAAATGATAACCTAACCTATAGATTATTGGAAATCTGCTACCACTACGGATTTTGGCCTATCAAACAAGGTTTTAATAAGCCTCTGTCCCAAATAGGTAAACTTTACATCTTAATCATTGATCCCTATTGTAAACAACTCCTTTCGTTAAAAGAAACTGTCATTTAAGAAATAACAAAATCACAGTCCCCTTTGTGAATAAGGCGGACAAATCAAAGACAGGATTTATTGCTTAAAACTTCTACAGTTTTCAACAGTTATGTTTAAAAGGTGCAGTTTAAAAAAAAGCTACAAAATAGCACAGAACTACACTGTAATATAAATTGACTAACCCCATTGACCTAGTTTTGACCAATGTTTATATATAAGAATAGTAAATATTTTGTGTACCTTTCTAATCAGGTGTGTTTGCCCAAACTAAACCTATGAAATGACCTGACACTTTATCATGGTTTATAGTTTTTTCACAACGACCATCAAAATCTCAATGTTTGTACATATTTAATACACATGGTCTATTATTCAAAATTTTATACTAATACTTAATTACCACTAGCTATACTACTTTTTCCAAGTCAAAATGCTAGCTATTTTTCTAAATCGCTTCAGATAATAGTGACTTTACGTTTGTTTTTATCTCTCTCAAGAAGAGGCGTTACCTGAGGGAATATGATCTCTTTTTTTTTATAATGTCACTACACAAAAACAGACTGAGGCAAACTATGTTGACATGGTTTTCACTCACCGAAATCCATCGCTCTGCTTCATGAAGTGCAAGCTCCGTGAAAAATTCCATTTCTTCATCTTGTCTAAGCCTGATGTCCAAATTTTCCTCACCATCACCCTCTCTCTCAGAATTTGTAGCCATATCCACCCATTCACATTCAAGCAGTAGCCTGCGTGTCGATTGACAAGACAGGGAAAAATCTCCGGACAACCTAACACGCTTCAGTGCGCTCCATCGAGACTAGGGTGCTTGTGGACTTACGCGATCGAGCGTAAAAGCAGGCTTGTGAATTCATGCGATGATAAGGCCAACTGAGGCTATCCTCCTAAAAATTGAATTGTCCCCCCTTTTGTAACCTATCTTGTGATGAAATTGACAGGTGCGCGCTCCAAATTTTTTTTAATGACCGAAAAGAGGCGCGCTTGATTTATGAACTGGATAATATTATCAGATTGCATAGTAATTGGTCTTTACCGTCAGATTTAGAATCTACTTAATTTGATCTTCTCAATAACAAATCGCAGTTCATACAGGATAGTATGAAACCGTTTTGGCATTTGCCAACGTATGTGAGCTTATGTACTAACGTGTGTTGTCAGTGATTTTTTGTTTCAAGAGCAAGTAGAAAGCTTTTCGGTAGGATGCACCATGCAGAACTGACCAAAAATAATGCAATGTTAAAGGTGAAAGCAGACTAAGCAACTCCTGTTAATATTTTAACAATTTAACAAAATTTTATATTAAAATTTTCAAAAAAATTCCCCATTTTTATTCCATGCCAACGGCAACCATTGGGAAATTCTAAACCCCAAAATCCACTCAATAAGTATGCAGTTTGAAAGATCTTAGAAGACAAAATCATATCTAAAAAAAAAAAAATGAAATTAACCTTTTTATTTTCTTGGCAACTGTGAAAAGTTTGTCCCTCCAATATTCCAAAGTTTTTTTTTGCAGAAATCGGTTTTGCGAGAATTTACAGGTTGTACAATAAAACAATATGCCCCCCCCCCCACTTCGTTACTTCGATTTGGGTGACATAATCAATTAAAAAACTAATCATGTTGAATGTACATTAAATAATTTTAATGTAAGTACATATAATATGCCTTGATACAAAAGATATTTCGTTACAACTTTTGATAACTAGTATAACTTAGGTAGTAATAACAACTTTATAAATATATAGCTACATGTACTCTGATTTTGATCTTATTTGAAATAAGATCAAAATCAGAGTACATGTAGCTATATATAAGTTATTTCATTTTTGAGAAACTGATCCCATAATTTACTCCCTGACCTTCACCCATCAGGCCTACAGGAACTAGTTTGAACTTTGGGGGTGGGGTCTAAATTTCTAACTTTTGTATTAATAATGATTGGCCAAAAAGGTGTACTGTCAATATATATGAAAAAGGTCAATGCTTGGCAAGGAAAGCGACCCCCCACTTTAAATCAGAAAAAGGAAATGTTGAGTATTCTTTCTTGTTTCAGATAATGAAAATACCAAATTGTCTTTTAAAATAATTTTAATTCAAAGTTCCGACAAAGTATTTGAAAGATGGAAATGTTGTTTATTATTTATGTTTGTCTATTTATCTACACGAAGTTGGTTTCTTTTTTCTTCGAAAAATGCGTAAGTATTTTGTGAAAAGGTTTCAGAAAGCATAAATGAGAATTATATTTCCATTTGTCTTCTCTCATTAATAATCAGTTGAAAAGTCAGAATGGTATGTATATTGGGTGGCGAGGGGGTTCAGGCGAAAATAGGGTGAAAGACAGAGAAAATGTTTTTTTCAATCTTTTTTTTTTTATTGGTTATTGATTATCAATTTAATTAAAAATTGATAAAACTTACACGATTAACATCATATTAAACCTGCGAGTTTCTATTCTCATTTGACAGAGAATTATTGATGTTTTATTAAAAGATCATACCCGCGGTATTATAAAATTTTATAATACCGCGGGTATGATTTTTTAATAATTTAATTCTGATTGTAACGCTTTATTTGATTGGATAAAAAAATTACTTCATGTTGTAATAATTTAATTTCGTTTGTATTCTAGTCTCTGATTGGTTAATATCCAAAAACGAACACAAAATATTTCTGTATAACCTGGTTTGGTATGGGGACCCCCCCCCCCCGACAACCAGCTGAATCACCTGTATCCATACAATCCTCTCATTTCCAGTCCTTGGGATTCATGGAAAATTCCAGATTTAATAAATGTACCTTTAACTTCAAACAATAATTCGATCTTACCACATGTAAACAAACAACAAGGCTGCTAGGCCTATGTATCAGTTTTTACCTCCCCTCGCTTCCCATCACTTCCGTTACTATGGTTGTATTATTGAGCGGCAAATTTGAACTAATAAAAAGCAACGAAATTTTACACCCATAGTTATTTAATGATTTTAAAATTAAATTATAAGGAATGACTCTAATTCTTGGCCAAATTATTCGAGTATAACCTGCGTAAACTGACCCAAACCAGGTTATACTCGAATAATTTGGCCAAGAATTAGAGTCATTCCTAAATAAAATGGGTTGCCTATGTCACAATGACTTGCGTCAAAAACGTATCGATCCGCCTGACGTTACATTCAAATTTTGTACAAATTGAAGTCATTTTTTAAGTACGATAATTTTTTTTTTTCTTACACCAAATGAATGAAAATTAAATTAGGCCTATAAGGAATGAATTTAATAGCTACCCAATTTATACGGTATAAACTGGGTTGGAACAGTTTACGCTTTTTTATGTTGCCTATACGTCACAATGACTCGCGTCAAAAACGTATCGATCCGCCTGACGTTACATTCAAATTTTTAACAAATTGTAGTCATTTTTTAAGGACAATCGCCTTTTTGTCTAACACCAAATAAATGAAAATTAAATTTTAAGGAATGAATTTAATAGCTATCCATTTTATACGGCTTCGCGGTTTATAAAGCGTAAACTGCCCCAACCCAGTTTATACCGTGTAAAATGGGTAGCTATTAAATTCATTCCTTTTATTTTATGGAAAAAGAAGAATAAAAATATCCTTGGACCCAGGGTGTATTTTCGGGGGGGGGGGGTTGTTCCTGTCCACAAGCACCTATGTTTTCGAGGGCAACATGCGTTTTGTCGGACCCAAAAACCAAACTGTTTGCCTGAGACCGTAAGGTCGAAGGCAAACAGTTTGGTTCGAGGGGTTGACAAAACGCATTTTGCCCGAGGACACAGTCGATCAATAAATATTTTTCGTTATACCTTTTTATTTATTTATTATTATTTTTTTTTTTGTTATACATGTATCTTGTGCTGGCTTCCATACCAACGAATGCAAATAAGATTTAGCTGATCTCGCCCATAGTGTGACGTAAGCGGTCCATGCAATATCTCATCGTCAGGTTCAATATCTCAGTCACTCAGCGGTCAAACACCGATTTCTATGTGACCGCTCAATAAAACATTAGAAAAGTTAGACCTTTTTTTAGTATAGATTTATATAAGAACTAATTTTTAAAGGTATAACAATATATTTTGCTTCTAACCTGAAGGTTTTCTGAAGAAGTTTCGTGGTTTATTAAAATATAATAGGCCTAGAATTCAAAACATTTTGAATTTTAAAAAATGGGTTCATTAATTTTTATTATTATTATTTATATACACACAACATCCATAATCTGATTTTAAAATGACGCAATTCGATTCATTACGACACAAGTCCATATATGCAATAAAAGTTCAATCACCATTATGATAAAAGAATTGGAATTTATTTATTTATTTTTTTTCCTTTAAAAATGGTAAGAAGTTTAAAAGTTCCAGCATTCCTGTATTGAAGACAATAAACTTTTCAAAATTGGCAAAACAAAACGATAACTGACGGAAATTTGTTTTCCATATAGGCCTTCAAACCAAAAAGGCCTAGAGTTACCTGCCCCTTCAATGTTGTTTGATTTGGCAATATGGCGGACCTGTGAAAGAGTTTGGTAAACCAGAAATGATGGTTTTCAGGTTAATGTCAAAGCAGTCTAAAATTCAACATGTGTAAAATAATTTTAAAAGTGCTAGCCAGACGGCTGCACATTATTTCAGGTCATAGACAGGAAAAACGGACTAGATTAGCTCATTCTTTGTTGTAACGGCAATCGACTGACAAATCAATGAATGAAAAGAAAAATGTTTAAAATTACTTTTTATTTACACTAATGATTAGGAACATAAATATTTGATGGTATTAATTTTACTTATGTAAGTTGTTTCATTGTATTTTAAGGGATAATTAGTCACTTAGTGCTAGTATTCTTGACTTTCGTTAAATTTTTATACCCCGTTAGACTTGATAGAAAGTTCCATAATATATTATCTTTATTCCCTTTATCTAAAGGTTCGTTTAGTATAAATAATGATTTTGTTTGTGTTATTGATACAAATAGGGAATTAGACATAGCAGTGTGCTGAGCATTTTGTGAAAGGTTCCAATCCCAGAAAAGGCACACTGAACTTCTGTGTTCTGTCACTTGACAATATATTGAATATATACTATCTGCCCATGTACATGATGTATGACCAGGGTGTACTTTGCTGGTGCTGGGTCCTGTTGGAAAATTGGAAATTTTATTATCACAATATGTCCATTTTTTTTTTGTTTTGGTTAACTTTGCATTCTTTACCTGGTTGCCTTTGTTACGAATCCAGTGGAAAATATGAGAGCAATAAAAACTTAACTTTTAAAAGTGTTGCTATATAGTATTGCTATAAATGTTTGTCACCATTAGTTTGCCCAGTAGAGTTTCAAGCTTCAGTTGGTTATATCTGTGAAGAGAGTTGATGATGTTTAGAATACCTATAAGAATTTCATCTTTGCCAGCCCAAGACATACATGTATACAATGTATGGTAAGACTTGTTTCTTGTACAGAATCTTTAAAAAAAACTAGAATTTAGGTGACAGAAAATACTGTACACAGCTCATCAAAAAAAGAAAACTGTAATTTAAAAAGAAACTGTGCATAACAACAAAAATGTCAATATTAAAGTATCATATTTACTAAATTCAAGACTTTGATGCATTAAAATAACAATGTAATTATTGTGGAAAACAGTTAACATCCTTAATTCCAACGTCTTATTTACATTAACCAAGTAAGT